AGGGGGTGAAGGGAGGGCAGGGGAAGGGGAAAAAAATAAGAACCAAGATACTCATGTAGTGGTACAAGATCCCAGTGATGAATGTAACTGTATTGTATACCTAAAATGTACCAAGAATCAACCAGGGCCAGGGATTTAGCTCAGTGGTGCCACCGCCTGCCTCACAATCTCAAGGTCCTGAGTTCAATCCCCGGTACCAAAAAAACACCCCAAAAACAAACGAAGAATCAACTGGTTGAAATGATAGTTCGTAAGTCATCTGCCCTTGGGGTGAACTGTTAAGTGGTTAAAGGAACAAAACCCATGCAGTCAGAGGAAGTTTTTGTCATTAGGTTCATTCACTTTTCTATTAACAGGTTTTGACAAAAACTGTCACTAGTAAGGATGAGGGAAAACCGTGAAGTTTTTAGCTCTTCCTTCTCTTTCTCCTCCCCTTCTCCTCCTCTTACACCTCTCTCCTCCTCCTCCCCTTCTTCCTCCTTCACTTTTCCTTTCCCTCCTTCTCCAGCTCTTCCTCCTCCTTCACTTCCTTCTCCTCTCCCTCCCTCCCTTTCTCCTTCTCCTTCCTTTTTGATGAGGTCTTGCTGTGTTGCCTGGGCTGGTCTCAGACTCCTCGGTTCAAGTGATTTGTCCTGCCTCAGCCTCCCAAGTAGTTGGGACCACAGGTGTTTGCCACTGTGCCTGGCTCTAGTTTCTTCTTAATGTTAATGAGCCATCTCATGTAATAAGCTCAATAATGGATGATATACCAACTTTTCCTTTCTGCTGTTGTAATGTCAAAAGATATTTATAAAACTTTGCTAATTCTTAAACTTGCCTCACCTGGAAAGGCAAAAGAACTAGAATAGCTAAAGCAGTTTGGAAAAGGAAGCACAAAGCTTAAAGATATCACACTACCATATTGGAAGACTCACTTTAGAACTACAGTAATCAAGGCAGTGCTGTCAGCGGGGAAAGGGAGGACTAGATCAGTGGCATAGAGTCCAGAAGTAGATGTGCTCAGGCGAAGCCAGCTTCATGAGGTAGGTGGACAGGCAGTTTCTACCAGTGGTATTGGTACAAGTGGACATCCATAGGCAAAGAAATAAAACGTTTACCTAAACCTTACTCCTTATACAAAAATTAACCCTAAATGAATGAATCATAGATGCCAGGGTGGTGGTCCACTCCTGTAATCCCTGTCACTCAAGAGGTTGAAGTGTAGGACATAGCAACGGTTTTATAACACTGTAAATGTAATTAATCTCCCTGAACTGTAAATGGCAAATTTTATGTTAAATGTAGTTTGCTATAATAAAATAATCTACTTGACTGCCGTATAATAGTTTTCACCTAGCTTTCAACTGACAGTGATTAATGTGCAGTATAATGACATGACAAAGGCAAATGTCGAGAGAAATTTAATAAAATTCTCTAATACCTTCTGAGAGATGAATATGATTAATTAAAATCATATACTCGTGGATTGATTTCAGTGTTTGGCAGTATCTGTCTTTGTGAACACATTTTCAAAACTGAAATTGTAAAAATCTCATTCTAAGTCAGCATTAACAGATACAGATTTTTTTTTCAGAGTCTTTGTGCTGAACTCCCCAGCCTTTTTTTTTATTTTTTAGTCTGAGACAGTGTTTCCTTAAGTCACAAAATTGCCCAGGCTGGGCTTGAACTTTGGATCCTCCTGCCTCAGCCTCCCGGAATGCCAGGATTACAGGCTTGTGCCACCATGCCTGCTCAGATATAGATTTGCAATTGATTTTAATGAAAAGGAAAACTGTTTCAAAACCCAGTTAAGTGGAATGTTATTTCTCCGTAAGAAAATTCCATTACTTGCATTAGTAGACTTTTATTACACAAAAAATGAGCAATTATACTTTCTGTCAAAAAACATTTTATGGAAATTTGTTTTCTCTTGTAATACAGTATCTACTAATGTTCTTCATTTTGTTACATGTCTGAAATATTTATTTTCTGGCCCTTTACAGAAAATGTTGACCCCCTTGCTTAAAGCATTGATTCTAAAGCAATCAGGGTCTCACTGTATGCCCCACTTTATTTAGTTATGTTTCATAAATTTTGACATATTACAATTTCTTGCCATATAGCTCCAAGTATTTATATTTCCTAGTTTCCATTTGATACCTTTTTTCTTTCTTTCTCTGTGCTGGAGATCAAGCACAGGGGTTTATCGCCACTGAGCTAGATCCCCAGGTCTTTTTTATTTTGAGACAGGGTCTTGCTAAGTTGCCCGGCCTGGGCTCAAACCGTGATCCTCCTGCCTCAGCCTCCCAAATAGCTGGAATTTTACCAGTGTGCATCATCATACCTCGGTTGATGTCTTTAGCTTCTGTTATTCAGAAGTGTATTGTATAACTTCTGAACATGTAGAAATTTTCTTGTGTTCTTTCTTCTGACTTCTGAGTTCCAGAGTAGTCAGGGTGCATGCACTGCACGATGTCCAGCTTTTGACATTTGTTGCGGCTTGCTTTGTGGCAGCTTTTGTCTATTTGGGCAGATAACCCAGAGTGCCCTGAGGTGGAATTCTTTTCAGCTTTGTCTTTTTCTGAAGTTGTGGCTCTCCAGGTCAGTCCAGAGTTCCACTGTCTACTCATATATAGGAGCTGTGCTTGTACTTTTAGGGTAGTTTTTTCCTTTCTCAATCTGGTTGTTTTTCCCCTTCCCCTTCCCCTGTAGGCACATACAAATTTAAAGCTTTTTTCAGGTACTTAACTTTTAACCTGAATCTCAGCAGCCCTCAGTACAATGTTCTATGCCATAGTCCCTAACCACTAAATTAAATGTTCACTTACACATAAGGACTTCATTTAAGAGTGAACTCTTTTTATTTGTTTGTTTGTTTATTTATTTATTTATTTTTGAGAGAAAGGGTCTCACTGTGTAGTGCAGGCTGGCCTTGAATTCACTGTGAAGCCCAGGCTAGCCTTGAATTCAGTGATCCCTTGCTTCAGCCTGAGCTCTGGGATTATGGATGTGTGCCACCACCCCCGACTAAGACTCATTTGCTATATTGTGTGCTATTTTTCTCTTGGAAACCAGTTTTCTCCCCTTTGACAAAAGGAAATGAGTGTGCTTCCCAGGACTGTGTGCTTATCTAGAGATATCTAATGCTACCCTCAGCAGAGCTGCTGTATCTGATCTGTGCAGGTGTGGAAGTGACCCCTGTGGACAACCGGTCTTTCAGTGCTACCCTTTCAGTGCTGCTAGTATTTGGGTTACCTCTCATTTTTGTGGAAAAGAAATGTGTAAAAACAGACTTGCTTTTTGTAAGGCATGGTATCTTCGGTACTATAGTGCTTAGCTTTTCCTTGATGGAGGATCTGTTGTTTGTTGCTGTCTTGCAGTAATTGCTGGAAATATTGTGACATTGTTTCCCTTCTCAGAGAGAAAAGAAAAATAAGAAATTGACAAAAGTGGAAGCTTCTGCTTCTGCAGCAGAAAAACATTAACTTTGACCTTCAGTGTGAATGGGGTAGACGTGTACAGATTCCTTCATCCGTCCTTTTCTGCCAGTCAGGCCTTTTCAGTACACATTCACCAATCTGATTATTAGCATTTATAAGCATATACTGCATGTGACTTTGTATTTGATCTTATGAGACCTTGCAGCAGCCACAGGCCTGGTATTACAGCCCCTGAGCTGGGTGCCATCTGATAGCCTGTGCCCTGCAAGCCTCACCCTGTTGCTGATGAGGCGGGAGGTGTGTGTACATCCTGTTTCTCTGTGTTTAATTTGGGGCTGATGTGGAATTTTTGTCATAGAAAATGAGCAGTAGAATTTGCAGTTAGTAGTGAAGTGATTGATTCTCAGTACATATTGGGAAACAGAAGATAAAAGATTTTGGTGATCAAAGTAGAAATTTTAGGATGTACAGCATGAAGATCGAACCTCATGTGACCTGTGGGCTTTAGTAAATAATAATGTGTCAGCATTGTTGGTGGAAATGTAAACTAATATAACCACTATGGAAATCAATGTGGAGATTCCCTCAAAAAAATAAAACTAGAAGGGGCTGGGGATTTAGCTCAGTGGTTCCACCGCCTGCCTTGCAAGCACGAGGTCCCTAGTTCAATCCCCTGTACCCCCCCCCAAAAAAGATAATAATAATAAAACTAGAAATTCCGTTTGACCCAGCTGTACCTCTTCTGGGTGTCTCCCTGAAAGAATTGATGTTATAGTATTACAGTAATCCGTGCATACCCATGTAGCACAACTCACAAGAGCTAAACCATGGAACTGGTCTATGTCCATCAACAGATGAATGGATTAAGAAAATGTGGTGTTTATGCACTGCTACTCAGTCCTAAAAGAGGAGACATTTGAGTCATTTGTGGGAAAACAGATGGGTCTTGAAACCATGTCACCAAGTGAAATAAGTCAATTACAGATGGTTAAGTATCACATGGTTTCTCTGAGAACCAAATATAATTTAAAGAGCAAAATAAATGAAACATTTTAAGAACAGGGAGTTAGGCTCTGAGATGGGAAAGAACTCTGGGAAAGGAAGCAGAGGGAAAGGTGGGAGGTCAAGGGGAATAAAAATGATCACGATGTGGTAGGTGTGTGTATCAGCCCCCAAATGAATGTAAACACGAATCACGATGTGTTGCAGACATATAATGATAAACAGTTAAATAAGAGTAATTTGTCAGTGTTGGCTTCTCAGCTGTACCACCAAATGGAAGATGTTAGTAATAGGAAGAGATGGGAGGAACCAGATGAGGGAGTATATGAGGACTGCTTTCTGTTAAGTTCTATAAACCTAACCCCCCTCCAAAAAAACCAACTGTTCATTAAAAATTTGTAACTGGTTTAACATCCCTTAGCGGTTCCTGTCATACAGCTGGTGTGTACCCTGCTGACCCTGGGGGTTTCTCAGTTTGGTGAAGTGGTATGTGCAGTTTGAGCTCTATGTTCACTGACTGGCCTCCTCTCTCTTCCTGCGTGCGGGACAGTTGGAATGCCAAGATGCCTTGGAAACAGCAGCCAGAGCCGAGGGCCTTTCCCTGGATGTCTCTATGCATTCCCAGCTCCGAATCCTGGACGAGGAGCATCCCAAGGGAAAGTATCACCATGGCTTGAGTGCGCTGAAGCCCATCCGGACTACTTCCAAGTAAGGGGCTCGCTGGTGAATGACTTGTCTGGAAAGCACCAAAGCATTTTGGAAACTTTGAGCTAAGATAAGGCAGTTGAGACCTCTTTTTTGTGAAGAGCTCTGTTCACTAAACAATGTGCTTAAATACCGACCAGCTTCTCAGTGTCTGGTGACAGCCTCCTGATCTGGGTTTTTCTCCTCAGACACCAGCACCCAGTGGACAATGCTGGGCTCTTCTCCTGTATGACTTTTTCATGGCTTTCTCCTCTGGCCCGCGTGGCCCACAAGAAGGGGGAGCTCTTGATGGAGGACGTGTGGTCTTTGTCCAAGTACGAGTCTTCCGATGTGAACTGCAGAAGGTAGGCGTCTCTGGTCCACTCCGGCCTCTCACATGCTGGAAGCCAGGGCCTGAGCTAGGAGGGTGGGCTGAGCGGTGCGCTGCCGCAGCTGTGTCCCTTGAGGAGCCGGGCAGCCCGGGGAAGGCTTTCCCTGTGCGCTTGTGCTTTGTCTTCTCTTTCCCTGTAATCCTGTTTAACCACAGGCTCTCTCTCTCTTTCTCTCAGTCCCGCTTGTCTTCCTGAATCTGCAGGGAGATCATGTCGCTGTCCTGTGACAGAATACATTTTTGTGGTAGCTGATTAAGGGTTGGGGTCCCTCAAGGAAGGAAGTTCTTACCACAAAGTTCAGGAATAGACTTCTGGGGGTGGAAGGAGGGGCTCTTGCTCTCAGCACTTTCAGTACCCCAGCAGCTCTCTAGCAGGGCAAACACTTACCTGTCCAGGAAGGGAAGTTTTCTCCAGAAGATGAAGACTGTGCATGACTCTAAAGGACAGGCTCGTGTGGAGACAGCCTGGAGGCAGAGCTGGGGGAGCTGGGACACGTGTCCTGAGGAGGTGTGTAACTGAGGACATGTGCCCTTGTTAAGACTAGAGAGACTGTGGCAAGAAGAGCTGAATGAAGTGGGGCCCGGCGCTGCCTCCCTGCGAAGGGTTGTATGGACCTTCTGCCGCACCCGGCTCATCCTGTCCATCGTGTGCCTGATGATCACGCAGCTGGCTGGCTTCAGTGGACCAGTAAGTTCTCACCATCCTCTCTGACGTCCGCAGGGGCCCAGCATGGCCGGCTCTAACCCTCTGGTTCTGTTGCAGGGGTTGTGCTCACCTTTGGGCTAGTTAGCAGCCCTAGCGATGGTGCCTTCAGGGCTGCCGGAAGGGTGCAGCGACTGAGGGTGAAAGATGGCTCGCCGGCAGTCAGAAGGGTGAGGGGAGCGCTTCAAGAGAAGCAGCAGCTGGCTTGCTTTGCTGGGTGGGGTGAAGCCGAACTGATCCTGTTCTGCCCAGGACCTTGCTCTTGGTTGCGTGTTGGCACGAGGTGACAGTCGTGGTCTGGGCAGCTGTGAGTGGGCAAGTGCAGCTTGTGTGACGTGGGCTGGCAAGCCAGCGCGGTGCCTTCAGATGCCTGGAGGCAGCTTCCATGTTGGGCAGTCCTGTGGCACATGAAGAAGCTAGAGGACTGTGGAGGTTTTCAGGGTCTGAGCTGCAGGCCAGTCCGAGCTTTGGTGAACAGTGTGAACTGCGTGAGCCTTGGGGTGGCAGCTGTGGTCTAGTCCGTGTGAAACCAGAGTGGGTAAGGGAGCCTTTGATATTCACAGTTTCTTACGCCTGCTATGGTGCCTTACACTTGAGATTTTGATTAAATTTATTTTCTACATATTTGCCTTGAGGCATCGGAGCAGTAGTATTGCTTATTCTGTGCGTTTTCCGTGTGTAGGTAAGCTGGAGGTTCATGGTTTTGGTAAGTATGTGCCACAGATGCATGGTGATTAGGTTAAACTAAATGACAGTTTTGTTTCTCTTTTTCTTTTTCTTTTTACATGTTTGATGCCTTTTTTTAAAGCTTTGATCTCTTTTCTGAAGCAGAGAATACTACTTTTGTGGCATTGGGTTTCTATGTTAATTGACCAACTAACACACTTTTATATAGCTTTAAATAAAAGGGACCATGTAACTGGAACGTTAGGTTATGTTATGTTATTGACCAAAGTGGCAAACATTTCCATAGAGCCAGCGTCCCCCAAGAAGAGCTTCTGTCATTGTTTCCCTCCAGGGCCGGTGGCTGCTCTGTGTCTTCATAGAACACTTTGACCTCTATAGCACAGTGTAGGCTTCCAAGATAGAATGATAATGGGTTTTCTTAATTCCTCTCTCCTCTTAAAAAAAAAAAAAATCCATGGATTGTTGGGATTTTAATTTTTTACTTGGGGAAAAAAGTTACTTGTGCATGTTCAGCTTGTGACTTTAAGGTCACTGCCTTAAGCATCTGTGTATCCCAAGTTCTCATTTATAATGCAGTACACTAGATAACCCTTCCAGATGCCCGGGAGAGCTGGGTGCCTTCCTTTAACAGGAAAATGCAGCACACTTCTCTCTGCCCTCTCGGAAAGAGCACTCGAGCCAGTGTCACCTCCCAGGTTCCCTCCGGAGACACCTGAGAAGGCAGTGGGCCCACCCATCATCTCTTTGATTGAGAAAAAGATTTAAAAGTGTAAGCAATGCAGACTTCTTTTTCAGAACTCCAGTTCTGATTTATTTCTTTTTAATTGGAAGTGGAAACACCAGGCTGGTTTTGAGAGTAGTACTAGCAGCAAGCAAACCTCCTGTGTGTGGACTTTAGTCCTGTTGGGAAATGTCCATTTTTATTTTTGCACATTTTCTAATCTGGCATAGTCTTCAAACTGATTTAATGTCTTCTATAGAAACCTACATAAGAGATACCTCAAGTTCTTGGCTACCCAATATAGCATTATTATTTGTTGTCCTCCCACCTCAGGTCTCATCAGACTTTGGTACTCACTCATACACAGAACCGATGAGACACTTTTCAAGTCGTTGCATCTCATGTGTGCTTTTTGAAATTGCTGGACAGCCAGCACTGGGCATTCATGCCTCAGGGTGCTCCCAGGTTCTGGTGATGCCAGTGGACAGTGCAGTGCAGGGCGCAGGACCCAGGAGTATTAAACCGAGGACCAAATAAGGGCGTGATCTTGACTCAGACGAGAACCCAATCTTTGATAACCTTAGAGGCACTCTGGGCCCTTCTTAGACTTAAGTTTTTTAAAAGACCAGGCCAGCCCTGAGATCCATGTGTGAAGAGTTAGCATCTGCCCTAGACCTATGAGAGAGGCTCCCTCAGTGTTGCCATCTCTTTCAGAATGCTAGCTCTGCCCCGGGGCCCGGGGAGGACAGTGCAGTCTTAGAGAGGTAAGTTCCCGCCCCTCCAACCTCTCTCCAGCTGCAGCTCGCTTGGTGCTGTCAGGATCTGGACTTGGGGGGAGTCTCTCTGTAGTGGAACCAGTGACAGAAGCTGTTCTTTAGAATTTTCAGGATGGCTGTGTTCTTCGGTCAGAATGAGAGAGTCAAGCTGGGCAGAATCTCTCGCCAAGAGTTCAGGTAAGGTAATGTTTATTCACTGGGAATGCCTTCCACAGCCAGACAGCTATGCTGACAGTCTCGAGTTTTCTCCCAGTTTGTTTAGATTTAAATGATAAATTTGTAACTTTTTTAAAAACTGAATTTTGTTTGGATTTTTCATGAAAGTCTTTTTTACTTTGCCCCATACAAAATTGTTTGAAATGTCATTGCTTTTTAAAAACACTATGTGTTGGAAGTTCTTTAATCTGCTGTTTCCTCTTCTCCCCTTTGAAAGTTTTGCGAGGTGTAAACATTGGTTATGTCTTTTACCTCCCCTCCTCCCCCTGGGAGGGCCTGTGCCCTTACCCGGTGCTGACAGCCGGCACTCTAAGGTATGGGAAGGAAGGAGCCCCCAACCACCACCTGCTGTCCTTGCACGCCTGCCTTTGGAGACTCTCCATCAGTGCCGCGGTGTGAGAACGTGCTTCACCGCACACCATCCTACTGAGTTGCTTCACGGGAGGAGAAGGGGTCTGACCCCGCGACTCAGTTCCACATTTTGGATGCATACTGGAGAAGAAGCCAATCTTCTTGGTAGTAAACCAGCAGCCCAGCTGTATGCAGAGGGAACCCACATACTGCCTATAAGCCAAAAAAATCTGAGGGAGGAGAGGAGTGGATACAGTAGTGCTTAGGATCTGAGACTTCCTATTTGTTCAGTTCATTTACTGGGCCTTGACATAATCCTGATGGGTGGGATCTCAGGGCCCAGTGAACACCTAGTGTTGAGTAGCCCTCAGGAAAAGTGAGAACAGAAGAGCTTGGAGACAGTGTGGGCTCTGGAAGTCAGCATTAGCCACCTCAGGATGGTTGTGTCCCGCCTCCACCCTTGTCCGTCATTCATTGCTGGCTTACAGCTGGAGTAAGCTTTGCTAGGAGCCAGGGCAGATGGGTAGCTAGGTTTCGAGTTAAGTTTTTTCTTCCTTTAGTGGTGGGGGGTTAGGTTTGGGTTTCTTTTGTTGTGGTTAGTTTTATTTTTGCCAAGATCAGTTTTAACTACAAGGACTTGAAAAGACTCTAAAGGATCCCAGCAGTTTTTCCTTGAGGCCTAGACTTTTTTATTCTGTCCTGAGCAGAGATAATTTTTCGAGCTTAGGGCGCCAGCAGCACCAGCAGTTTTAAGCAGAGTACTTTTTCAGAGCATTTTTCGTTTTGCTTTATTTTAAATTTTTTTTTCCTTAGCAGCAAGGTCTTTATTCCTAAAGAACCCACTCCATTGCAGAATCACTGCAACTTGAGGAGCCCTAACTGGTTAAGTGCCATCAGCCTGATGTACTGCTTCGGACTCTGGAAATCAATACTGGTTCTGTTTTGTATTTCCACTGTGTGTAGCTAAAACAGTTGGAGGCCAGCTGACCTGTTGGATGGCCCGCCCTGTATAACTGACTCTGTATGTTCCACTGTATGTTACTGCAATGCTCCTGCTGTTGTACAGTGTTTGTGAGATGCTCTTTGAAGATGGTGCCTTTATATTTTTTTCATTTTCAATAAAAGTACATTACTTCCGACTTCTGGTATTTGATACTGTTGCTGAATGTGCCTGTGTGAGTGCGCTGGGGTGTTCGCAGGACCGCAGAGCTGGAGGTGGCGCTCGGGCTTGGGGGCTGGCCGGCTCCCTTCCTGCAGGTGGTGTTAGACATACGCTACCTGAGGTAATCCGTTTTCGTTTTGGGGAGGGAGTGGGGGTGTGGGGAGGGCCCGTGGGGGGCTCTGGATTCTTGGTAGTCTGCTTTGTTTGCTCTCTGCTGTACTATTAAACTGCTGATGTTTATTTTCAGGAATGTTTTGCAAATGCACTTCTCACTCTTCCCCAGTACAACTGTAGGTACACTGTTCCTTTTTATCAAATAAGCACGTTTGAAACAGTACAAAGACAGGTCTTAATTTCATTTAAAGAAATGTATCCATGTGTGGAGATACTGGAATAAGGTCAAATACATACTTTTGAATGACCATGTGTTTAGAACTAATTTCAGCTCATGGACAGGCTTACGTTACATTAGAAAGAGTAATGGTTTAGATGATGTCCCTAAGGAAAAGAGTTTCAAATTGGACTGAGTTCCGCCAAACACCCTGTGTAAATTATTTTGGGCAGCTTCTCAGATGCCCTGGAGGTTTTTCTTTGCTTGTACACTGACCACTGAACCGTGGAGCAGCCTACTCTTTCTAACTTAACATAGCACTGTGGCCCTGTGTGTGGGTACCGTGGGGATGTTAACAGTGATATGTGTTTCTCCCTGTAGGCCTTCGTAGTGAAACACCTCTTGGAGTACACCCGGGCAACAGAGTCTAACCTGCAGTACAGCCTGCTGTTGGTCCTGGGCCTCCTCCTGACGGAAGTTGTGCGGTCCTGGTCGCTTGCACTGACTTGGGCATTGAATTACCGAACTGGCATCCGCTTGCGGGGGGCCATCCTGACCATGGCATTCAAGAAGATCCTTAAGCTGAAGAACATTAAAGAGAAGTCCGTGGGCGAGGTGAGTGTGCTCTAGGGCAGAGAGTGGTTCCCAGCTTGAGCCACGTCTTTCCCGGGGGTCTGCTGGTCCTTCATCTTCCTCTGGAGACAAATGACCTGTGTCCTTGCAAGGGCCTCTCACTGCTCTTTGTATCTTGTAGCTTATCAATCTTTGCTCCAATGACGGACAGAGGATGTTTGAGGCAGCTGCTGTTGGCAGTTTATTGGCCGGAGGACCTGTTGTTGCCATCTTAGGCATGATCTATAATGGAATTATCCTGGGACCCACAGCCTTCCTGGGCTCAGCTGTTTTTATCCTCTTCTATCCAGCGATGGTGAGTAAGTCTCGTAGCTATATCTTGGCAGCTTCTCCCTGGGAGTTGCATTATTTCATTGGGCTGCAGTAGGCTCATTCCCTGGCTGGAAATGTCCTTAGGGTGGCTGCCTGGTTTGGGAAAGTCTGAAGTGAGAGGGTTCTTGGTCCATATGGATAGAATCTTTGCTCAAGAAGAAGTAAGGTGTCACTTGTATAAAGGCAGTGGTTCCCAATGAAAAACAGAGTGTAGGGCTGGACATTTAGCTCAGTGGTTTTGCCGCCTGCTGCGCAAGTGAAAGGACCCGAGTTCGATCCCCAGTACCAAAAAAAAAAACCCAGCAAAAAACAGAGTCTGAGTGAGGGAGGCCGGCAGGGCCCCCTCCCAGGTAGCATGGGAATGTTTGTGTTCCTGGTCTTCAGTTCCTACTGACTAATGTGGTGCTCCTGTTTCCTTCCACAGTGGGAGCACTCGTATCTGTGAGCACCCTGAAGTTATTTGTCTTCACTGCCAGACAGTGAGATAACTAAATAATATTTGTTTATGGCTCAGCTGGTCACTTTTATTAAAAATAACATGACTACATGAAACCTGGCCTGTCCCAGAAAAACAGGATAATATATGTGTTTTTCTTTGAATGAACTTAAGCAGCTCAGGCAGTTCTTCAGTTTGAATGACTGATTTGATATGGCATTGCTTTTCCTTTCAGATGTTTGTATCACGGCTTACTGCATATTTCAGGGGAAAGTGTGTGGCCGCCACAGATGAGCGTGTCCAGAAGATGAACGAAGTTCTCACCTACATTAAATTTATCAAAATGTATGCCTGGGTCAAAGCGTTTTCTCAGAGTGTTCAAAGTGAGTGTAAAGATTTCCTGTGTGTAGATGTGGAAAGGATTTTGGATTCTTGGGTCTGTTCATTCACACACTTTGCTTCCTGAGCATATTAGATATACTACGATTTCTAATGTCTAGGATCATAATATTATAGAATCTTTATGTTCAAAAGGAATCGTAGAGATGTGAACCTATAACTTCATCCCACAAATGAGGATATTGACCCCTGGGAAAATTGTGATATCCCCCACCACCTGGGATAACACAGCTAGTTAGAATTTTCTAATTCCATTACAAAGACCCCAAATTATACTCTTACCCTGCCAAGGTTTTCCAACCTGGCCATGAGGAAGGATGTCGCAGATAACAATATCAAATGCTGCTGAGAGTTCCACTTGCCCCCCTCTACTCTGTGGTTGCAGATGTGCCAAAGGTGGTTGTGTGACCCTACAGGTGAGCTTGGACGTCAGCATGCCTGGACTCTGGTCCTAGCTCTGCCACTCACTAGAATCTGGTTTATGTTTTTAATTTTTTATTTTTTTGGTACCAGGGATCAAACTTGGAAGCTTGGGCTTATGAGGCAGGTAGCAGAACCACTGAGCTAAATCCCTGGCCCATGGTTTATGTTTTTAAATAATTGGTTTATGTTGGGTCACAGGGTTCTCAGTGCCTGACCCAGTCCTCAGTGTAGGCATAAACATAGCAGATATGTAGGTGCCACAAAGCTGGGAGGACTAATTACCACAGGATACTTCCTACTCTGTGGTCTCTCGTACTCTGTGGTTGCTCTGTTAATAAGGGCGTCAGCTTTTAAATACTTAAGAAAAGTCATTCTGGGGGTAGAAATTGTATCTTATCTGTCTTCTTCCAGTCCTCTTTACTGCTTTTCGTGTGGAATTTCCTATCCTAGTGCCAACTTACAGCAGGCATTTTAAGAAATCTGAGTTCTTTTTAAATTCTTCAGTGCTGTTGTGTAGTCCTCCCTGTGATTCCTGAGCCAAAAATAAACAAAGCAGGTAAACCAACAAAACTGTCCGTTGTAGATACAATTAACCTGTTCATTTCTTCTAAATCCAAGCGAAAGAGTTGGAGAAAGGCAGGTGATTGGTGTACTAATGATTGCTTTCTGTTAGTTTTTTCCTATAACTTGATCCATTTCAGACCTCACCTTTAATGGTAGCATTGATAGTTACATTAAACCAGCATTTGCACATTGGGGTTCAAGGGTCGTTTTAAAACTTACTTGTGTCTGAAGACCAAGTCTTGTTTAGTGCTGGAAAACAATATCCCAAGGTTTCCTGCTTTTTATTCATAGAAATCCGAGAGGAGGAGCGTCGGATATTGGAAAAAGCTGGCTACTTCCAGAGCATCACTGTTGGTGTGGCTCCCATAGTGGTGGTGATCGCCAGTGTGGTGACCTTTTCTGTTCACATGACCCTTGGCTTCGATCTGACAGCAGCACAGGTCAGGGGACCTCAGGGGTAGGGGTGTTTTAGAAATACAGTATGCAGGATGCTCTGGTCCTCTTGCTAGTGCATTTGGAGGTTCCTGTAAGAATTAGGCAGTTTTTCATTTATGTGCCTAAGCTGAGAAGTGCACGAATAGGGAACCAGCCCTTACACAAGACAGTGTATGGCTTTAATTCTGAAAAGACAGATCAACCTGTGGCTCAGATTTACTGAGAATTTTAATTGATGGTCTCAGAAAAACCCTAAATGAAAAAATACATCTGACTTGTAGTAACATTTGATAGCCAAGTTGTAACCTTTCTACCACCTAAAAGGAAATTGGCAGTGTCTTCCTATTTTAGTTGCATAGCCAGATTAACCAAGCTCAGTTTCTCCTCTTTTCCTGGTTTTTAAGGCTTTCACAGTGGTGACTGTCTTCAATTCCATGACTTTTGCTTTGAAAGTAACACCCTTCTCAGTGAAGTCCCTCTCAGAGGCATCAGTGGCTGTTGACAGATTTAAGGTAAGTGGCTCCTGCCCCTCAGCTTGTGTCAGGATCTGTCCCTGGCACAACTGCTGCCTCTTCTCCCAGGGCCCACACAGACTGGCCACACTTGATTTTGGCTTGCTGTGAGCCTTTGGCAAGTTGATAAGAAAGGAGCAGTGGAGGAAACTGATTAAGAAAAGGCTAGTTACCCTTTTTCATTGATGTGAGTTTTTACCTTTTCTGGCCAGCCTGATTCTGGGCTCAGTGTTCCCTCACAGAGGGCACCCCTTCCACCCAGGCCTGATGTGGATGTATGCTTAGCTCCCTGGGGACTAAGTGATTTAAACTTGCACTTGAGACCAGAACTGTCAGGTTTTCCTCCCCTGAATCATTGCTACTGTCATTTTGATTGGTTGATATGCTAAGTCCTTTTTGATACTTTTTTTTTCCTGACCTGTGGTTGCCACTCATGATATGGGGACTGCAGTGACATGGAATAGTCATAAAACTAGGTCACATTGAGAAGTGCAGTTAAGTAAATATCAGATTTTTTTCCCTTGTGAGTGGTTAGTTGATCATACCTGGGCTCTGTCCTTTGTGCCCTCAGGATAAAATAAATACATGATTCAAGAGGGAGATTTATTTTGGCCGTGGTGAGAGACAGGTATTTGAAAGTGATTAACACTTACTTAAAAAAAAAAAAAAGGAGCAGCACTATTTGAGCTGGACCTGCTTGACAGTGGCACTCCCAAGCCCCTGCTGTTCTTCCCAGTGAGAGCAACAGAGAAGTGATTATGTGACATAAAGTTCTGAACCTCACATGTTTGAGGGATGGACATCGCTACCTTCGAGGCTCAGGAGGAAACAACTTAGGTTTCCTGTGTAAGGAGAGCAGAGTAGCCTCCTGTGATTTATTTATATCTACTCAATCAAATGACTTTGGTTGGGTCAAGACAGCAAGTCCTCCAGAATGTACCTTCACCTCCATATCCTTGCCCTCCCCAGCCCAGCTGCTACAGAGACAGAAAGCAGAGTCATATGAACAGGAATGTGCCGGTGGCAGTTGGAGCTTCATTTTGCTTAATCCACAATATCCAGTCATGGGAGAAAGGAAATGTTTCAAGTAGGAAGTTCTCTCCCATCTGTTTCTGTAGCCTTATTAGAGTGCATTTGGTTGGGTATTAGTTGAAGAAAGGAGTATACAGTGTAGCTTGGTTCTCCTTTTTTTTTTTTTTTTCCCTTGAGAGCTTTCTGCTCCTTACTTATTAGTGAGGACTTGAGTTAGCAGGTGGATTTCATATCATAGTTCCTTTCTCTGTCCAGGAAGCATTCAGAGTTAATAATAGAAGCAAAATCACCCACAACTTTCATTTTGTGCCCCATTTTGTCTTATGCCTCTTGGCAGGTTTTATATTTTTCCTTCCTTTGTTTTAAAGATGCTTTGCCCAAGATAACAAGTGTTTATTATCTAATCCTTCCCCAACTCTCAGCTGTTTCTTTCTTATTATCTTAGGACTTACTAATTAGAATGACACTGACATCATTAGGCTTTTGGGGGAAGGAGCTATTTTTTAGGTATAAAGCAGATGTTTCTCATAAATGTTTTGAGTTCTTTGGTGGAAATCTGCCTCAATCCTGAAGGATCATCTCAGGTGGCCTTTTGAAAACAACAACAAAACTTTCTGAGATTTTATCGTTCCCCAAAAGCGTCTGTTCTCCCATCATTTTGTTTGAGATGGATAAGAGAACAAGGGCAGGACTTGCCTCTTTGATTTATTTTGCACAAGTTGAAATTCAGTACAGATGCTGCAAAACCTTACTTTTTATGTTTGTTTTTGGTACTGGGGATCAAACTCAGGACCTTGCACCACTTGTGAGGCAGGCGGCAGCACCACTGAGCTAAATCCCTGGCCCCAGAACCCTACTTTTTAACCTTGTGTCTTGTTTTTTTTATTTTATTTTTTGTTACCGGGGATTGAACTCGAGTCCTTGCGCTTGCACAGCAGACGGCGAAACCACTGAGCTAAATCCCCGGCCCATTCTGTCTCTTTTTATTTTGTATTATAACCTTTCTTTTTTCAATTGGAGTTGGGGATCTGATCATCAAGCGGGATTATAGTCTTTTCTCTGAGCTGCCCTGGAAGTGCATCTTGTAGAACAAAAGACAGAGAGATAGCAAATTTCTAGGAGAGTGATAACTTGTAGAAAGGCAATGAAAAGCTACTTTTTGGCTTTTCTGGGCAGATTGTTACCAGTGTAAAGTGGCTAACTTTTGTAAAATAAAAACCCAGGATGGGGCTGGGGATCTAGCTCAGTGGCTCCACCACCTGCCTCGAAAGTGCAAGGACCAGTGTTCAATCCCCGGTACCAAAAAAACAAACACAGGATTCCCAATTAAATACTGCATGGAACATTCTTAGACTGAAAAATTACTTCTTATTTATCTGGAATCCAGATTTAACTGGTTATCTTGTATTGTAGGTGGCAGCCCTGTGAGTATTCCCTCTGCTGTTCAAGAGATACATTCTGATTTGATTCTTTCAGTGAACAAAAGTAGTGTTTTGATGATCAGTGTCCCATGGGAAAGTTGAGGTTTATGGTTTGTGTACGTCTTAAGATTTTGTTATCCTGGCAGGTGCAAATCAAAGTGGTAATAAATCAGGTCTCATGAGGCCCTTTTCTGCCTCAGTGTGTCAGGGCAGGGCGACCTGAGGCTGAGATCTCCCAGTGAGTGGGAAGGAAACCAGAAGGGGCTGTGGATACCAGTTGGCTCCAACATTTTCTTAGTAGTTCACTTAGACCTAAATGAGCTCCATCCTCTTAAAAACTCAAGGCCAGAGAAATTATGGAAATTGTCAGCTTGTGGTTTTGCTCTGTGAAGGGGTAAAATATTTATCTTATTCTTAGCTTAGTCTTTCAGGAAGGCTCTGAACAGATGAGACCAACAGCTGTTTTCAGAAAGCAAAGGCTAAACCTACAGTTGATCAAGAGTAAAGATTATCTAGGAAATTTAGAAAGATGGTACTTCTGGGAACATTGGAGGTTAGGAGTGAAGAAAACATGTGGTCGCTTCGGGGAAGAAAGGAGCAAGCATAGAAGTGTAGGATCCAAGAGAATGGGAAAGGGATTATACGTTACATTTAATACCATCTGCCAAGTTCAAGCTAGTTAGGGGTTCTCAGTAACTAAGCAAGGGGTCCAGGCCCTGAAAGTCACTTTTTCAGTAAAGGTTTTCTAACATTGTACAATATTTTTTTGGTACCAGGGATCGAACTCAGGACCTTGCGCTTACAAGGCAGGCAACAGCACCACTGAGCTAAATCCCCATATTTAAAACATTTTTTAAAAAATCATTCTGGGAATCTCAGTAGCATAGTGATCTGTAGAGATTACTGGTACAAAAGGTGATGGTCAGAAGGGATCCAAGTCTTACAGGAAAGCCTGGGGTTATGATTTAATATTAGTGTTTCAGATCTAATTTCAGAGGTACTTCCCTCTTTAAAACAGTCCGTTTTCCTTTCCTTTAGCTTAACTCAGGGGAGCTCTAGGAATGAGCAGGAAGAGCCTTGTTCTCCCCACAAGCAATGTTTCTCAGGGAAGATACCCTTTCGCTCCACTCGGCCCATTCCTCTGTTTGAATTATCCCAAGTCCCAAGTATGAGTTCAGGGCCAGAAGATGCATGCTACTGTCGATAGACCCTGAGACCCTTTTTCTAACCTTAGCTATGTAAGCCTGTGAACAGACTCAGTTCAGCCTCTACAAAAGGTACCAAGCCATGGGGGAGGGAGGACAGGCAGGTTTGGGATTCTGTGGGAATGGTCTGGAGGGAAAACAGGGTGGAGATGGTTTGCATAGGGATCAACGTGCTACTCGGGAACTCATGAGCAAAAGCAAGGAGTGGAATACCAGTTGGTTTAGTGTCCTTCTGTCCACATTAGGCTGGCAGAAAGGGAGAGGGTAGCTTAGCCTGTAATTTAGGGGAGAGGGTGGGTCAGTGGTCAAGGCCCCCATACCTCCTCAGGTTGCCCTGTGTTCCCGAGACCCCTTGATGGGCCCAAGGCGAGGCTACACTAATGAGCTACCTTTTGCCCTTCAGCTTCCTTCCACTGTATAGCTGATGTGTTTTGCTACGTGAGTGTACGCCCTAGGCTTGTCTCCCTGGTCTTGATCCAGTGTCTCATCTTTGCACCTCTCTCACAACTCCTATCAGAGTTTGTTTCTAATGGAAGAGGTTCACATGATAAAGAACAAACCAGCCAGTCCTCACATCAAGATAGAGATGAAAAATGCCACCTTGGCATGGGACTCCTCCCACTCCAGTATCCAGAACTCGCCCAAGCTGACCCCCAAAATGAAAAAAGACAAGAGGGCTGCCAGGGGCAAGAAAGAGAAGGTGAGGCAGCTGCAGCGCCCTGAGCATCAGGCGGTGCTGGCAGAGCAGAAGGGCCACCTCCTCCTGGACAGTGATGAGCGGCCCAGTCCCGAGGAGGAAGACAGCAAGCACATCCACCTGGGGAGCCTGCGCCTGCAGAGGACACTGTACAACATCGACTTGGAAGTACAAGAGGTGAGCCGTGCACTTCTGCCCTCCTCCACCCACCGCCGCTCAGATTGGGCAAGAGCAGGCAGCTGCTGCACCTCTTAGCAAAGTGTTCTGATGTGAGTGACATGGAACCAAGGAGCAGATTGGGCCAGCTCTAATTCCAAAAGGAATATTTAAGCATTTAATGACAGAATTCATAACAACTGATCTCATGAGATGCTCATTTCACAAACAAGGAAATGAAGCATTCAAGTGGATTTTCCAGGCTTTTGCCCTGATTCAGTCTCTGGCTATTATGTGAGTTGCAGTGATTATTTCTGATATTATAATTCTGTAGTCACTGGCTCCTCAAGGCCATGCAACCCTGGCCCCTAACAGATATCCTCAGTGTTGCTCTTCTCCACAGTCATACTGTAGCATTTTAATATAAGTGAAGGATTGGCTTGGTATGTGGTGTCGCAGCACAGGTAGCTCAAGACTGGGCTCTTGGAGTGGCTAGAACAGACACTTTTAAGCTTCAGACTGACTGGCAGCCAGCAGCCTTTTCCCGGGAAATGTCCTGGAGACTCCAGATGTGTGTATGTTTGCTCACTCTTCAGCCATTTTTTGTGTGCCAACTCTGTGCCAGGTACTGTTGTAGGGCTGGGATATAGAGACAGAAAACCATCCAGACAAAAATCCCTGCCTCTTAGAGCTTCCCTTCTGAATGTCACAGACAGAGTATAAACAAGTAATCTGTGCTGTTTGTCAGATTGTGCTAGGGGCTCGAGAAAGGGGCCGAGTGCCGGGACAGGGCCGTGGTCTCAGCAGGCCGCCTGAGGGAAGGCCTCCTTTACAAGGGACTGTCTTGCACAGACCAAGGGAGGTGAGGGAGTGAGCCGAGTGCCTTTGGGAGAAGAGGAGCACTGCTGGCTGAAGGAACAGGAGCACAGAGGCCCTGCATCTGGTGAGCATGGCAGAGAGCAGTGGGTGCTGAGGCTGGAGAGCAGGGCCCAGAGCCTCCCATGGGATGGCTTCTCCCAGAGTGGGAAGAGAAGGCATGGAGGATTTGGAGCACAAGTTCTGGCTCATTATGAGGAGAATTGTCCAATTGTCCTCGCTAGTGGGTTCAGAAGACCGTGTAGGGAGAAAAGAAGAGAGCAGGAAACATAGTTAAGGGTGAGGATTTAGCTCAGTGGTGCTGCTGCCTGCCTCACAAGCACCAGGTCCTGAGTTCGATCCCTGGTACCACAAAAGAAGCACAGTTAAGGTTCTCCACTGTAGTGCAGAAGGAAGAGGAGGATGCCTTAGACCAAGGGTGGTGGCAGTGAAGGAGGGGTAAGAAGTTTCATCCACACAACTATTGTAGATTCTTACACAGTGGTTAGCAAAATCAGCAACGCACTGGAGCTGTTGGGGGGGCAAATCCAGGGCCTGGTGAGGAGGAGCAGAGAGCTTCACATCCTTTTTTTTTTTTGTACTGGGAATTGAACTCGAGACCTTGTGCTTGCAAGGCAGGCCGCGGAACCACTGAGCTAAATCCCCAGCCCGAGCTTCCCATTCTCGATGGCCATAAGCGAGAAGTGAGATGGCCTGAAACTGTTGGCGTAGTTCAGTGTTCAAGAGCGCTCAAGTCCTTTTTTACTTCACTCTTACCAATGGCCTTCTCATTTAATAACCATGTTGGTGACTGGGGCAGCTGTTACAGAGCTAATAAGCTGTGTAGAGAATTACTTCCATACTCAGCTGAAACTTCCATTGCATCTTGAATCTTGATCTTCACTCTGCACTTCAGAACCCACAGACATATGACACACCTTTAGCCATTGGAAAAGAAGCTCTGCAGCTCTCCCCGGGCTCTCAGGCAGAGGAAGGGGTGGACATATTTGGGGCACCTCTTCTGTGCACCAGGCACTCCTTCATTGTTGCCTGAGCTCTCGTTACCACCAGGCGCTAATCTTCCAGATGCCTGGACCATGTCAGACCCACTGTTTGGGCAGCGTACTTTAGTTCCCAGTTCTTTGTAACTCCTCCCCGAAGGTCCCCAGAGCCCAGCGAGGAAGGCAGATGCAATACAACCTGTGCATGCTGGTGGGATTGGAGTCCAGTCACTGCTGTCTGCCTCCAGAGTCCACGCTGCTTCCTTCTGTCCCTGGGGCCTTGGGCCCACAGTACCCTTTTAAACTCATCTGTCTTTCCGTGTGGGTTTTCAGCACCACCTCCTGAGAGTCGTTATCTTACTTGACGATACAGTCAGCCCTCCATACCACATGCTGTCTGCATTCCCATGTTCCAATCAATTGCACATAGAAAATGTTTAGGGGAAAATTAAATCTGTACTGAATGTGTACAGACTTTTTTCTTGCTGCTATTCCCTAAACAATGCATCCAACAGCGCTTTATATAGCACTTACGTTGTACTAGGTATTATAAGCAATCTAGAGCTGACGTACATTGTACTGGAGGAGATAGGTAGCTTATATACAAATACTGTGCTCTTTTATGTAAGGGATTTGAGCATCCACAAATTTTGTTGTCTTTCAGGTCCAGGAACCAGTCTCCCATGGATATTGAGGGATGACTGTATTCAGTTAATCACAGGCTTTGTTTTCCATTTCTATTTGGAATGGGTAGCAAAAATGTTCCTCAGATTTTTTGAAATATTTTAGCAAAATATATGTGTAACAATGCATATAGTTTTTGTTCAAAATAATTTATAAACCCTGGATAAACATCACAATAAAATAGTTTTCAGGAAGCCATCTGTTCCAATAGTAGCAATAAAGACAAATGAATAAAAAATATGATTACCATTGCCAGGTGTGGTGGCACACACCTATAATCCCAGCACTCTGGAGGCTGAGGCAAGAGGATTGCTGCGAGTTCAAGGCCAGCCTGACCTACATAGTGAGACCCTGGCTCAAAAAAACAAAACAAAACAAAGAAAGAGCAATAAAAGTGATTACCAGCAATGTTGGAAAGAGGCAAAGACTTTCTAAAAGCCCTTGTAGGATACTGTAGTATATGTGGCACATCTGATTTTTCTAAAGGACTTCCATTTCTGTTACCTCAGTGTATCCTCACAGAAACCATACAAAAAAGGCAGCTGAGAAGTGAGGAAATAAAGGTAAGTGGATCGTCGAGTCTTGAGGCAGACAGTTACCATATTGATGCAGTAAAGTTAATGCATCTTTCCCCAAAGAAATTGTTGGTGCTTAAGGTGAGCCATCGGTAGTCTCTTCATGACCTTCCTGTCTGTGTGTTCTGTCTAGGGCAAACTGGTCGGAATCTGTGGCAGTGTGGGAAGTGGAAAAACCTCACTCGTTTCAGCCATTTTAGGCCAGGTAAGATTTTTGTTACAGACCTTGGCATTTTCTGCTTTTCTGTCAGGACCCTGTATAACCAACTTCTCAGGAAAAACGAGCTCATTTGTTGCAGAGAATCATGAGAGGTGGAGCCAGAGGAGCCTTGCTCTGTGCTGGGCCCCCATTTCCGCCCTTGGCAGTCTTGTCTGGAAGGGTGCAGCAAGCGACTGACTGACTGGTGCCCAGCTGGTGTCACCGGCCCCTTCTGTTCCTTTCCACTCTCACCACACCTCTGCATTAGGCATTGCGTCCAGGGTCTGTGCCCTGAGCTACGCCCCCCACTTTTTTGTTTTTAAGTATTTGGGGACAGAATTTTGCTAAGATCGGGCTCAAACTTGTGGTTCTGCTGCCTCAGCCTCCCACATGCTAGGATTAAAGGCACACACCACTATGCCCAGCTTCCTTGTATTTACTGATGCCCGCCCTCAGTATGCCAGACAGTGTAGGAAAGTGGCAGAGATAAATGGACAAACGCCCCACGCTACGGCAAAGGGTTGAGGTGGACTAGGAGGCTTTGGTGGGTGAGCACAACTGCACTTGGCTTTCAGCCGAACCGCCAGTGTTGCACCCTCGAGGAGTTCGTGTCCAGAGGGTGGGCCCTCTAGCTGTGCAAGGCAGTGAGGGTGTGCTACCGAGAGGCCAGCCAGTGATGGCAGCACTGAGAGTGAGGGGACGGGGTGAGGACCAGCACTGAGACAGGTGATCATGAAAGAACAAGGTTCTGCATGCTTTTAACTTAAATTTGTTTTTGTGGTACTGGGGATCGAACTCGGGACCTTGCACTTACAAGGCAGGAGCCAGAACCACTTAGCTAAATCCCTGCACCCCCACCCCCCCGCATGCTTTTAAACTGAACTAAACTAGCTCACCTTAGCTGGTTGAGATGAGGACAGGTGTGGAGTTATCACTAGCTCCCAACACCGAGGTCCCCCGAATTGCTTATCCATATTGAGGGCATGAAACAGATTGGGGAGGTGGCGTTTCTGTCAGCGAACATTTCCCTGCCCTGTTTGGTGTCAGCCACATGGTTGGTGAGCTGTGGTCTTGGAGGGCAGTGGTGCCTAAGCGGGCCAAGGAGGTGGTATTCCAGCCCACGGCACTCCCAGTCCGTGGGCCCAGCCATGGTCTTTGTACAAAAACAGCTTCCTAGGTGATTTCTGATAATAGGCAGATTTGCTGGCCAATGAGAAGACAGCCCATGGGCAGGGGTTAGGAAAAGGTCGGTTTCTAAGTGGTACTCAGGAGTCCAGCAGGACACTGCTTCTGCAGGGGTTGACTGGGCAGTGGTAGGTTGAAAACCAGGATCATATCCTGGCAGCCCTCTCTCTGGCAGGGAGACAGTAGGACTGGTCCAGCCCTGCTTCCCCAGGGTTTTAACTCCTTGGTAGAGGGCTGCCCTGCAGGTTTCTGGAGTGCTCCCCATCCTGGGTGATTAGGTGCTGCTGCGTCTTGGCACGTGGCAGGAACCCCAGTGGGTACCCTGTGTGTGATGGTGTTTGAGAGGACAGGCTCATTCCTGCAAGTACTACATGGGCCGTGAACAGAGCTTCAGAGCCGTGGCATCCCTAGCCCAGGACAGATGTTTGTGGTCATCTGGAAAGGAACTGTGAGAAGAAGTTGTGACTGCAGACACTCCAGAGTGCATGGCTCCTCACGCAGACCCTTCGAGTTGGGGGGAAGGTGTCTTCATATGGTTACTGTGTAGTACGAGTGGGTAACCTGGAATTTCCCCCCTTGGCCCTCATTGTACAGAAGCAGCCGGTGTGGCAGCAACCTGGCTGAATTCTGTAGAGGTGGCTGCCCTCTCCTTAAGGAGGCTCTTGCTGTAAACCCTTAGAGTGTCCTCTCCACGGGATTCCTAAAGGCCCTTGCACATACGCTTCACATAGCTGAACACTTTGCAGTTGGGAAGAAAGAGTGGAAAATAGGCCAGTGGGTGCCTGAGTGAAGCGTTTGTTCATCCAAGTTGTGGCTTATGCTGGGCTCCCATCACATACAAGCAAGGAGAACTTTGATTTTCTTTGCTGCTGTAACCCCTTTGGAACAAAGGTGGGATCTGGACTTGAGTCTGAAAAGGTTCTGAGGAAATTGCTAAAACTTGAGACTCCCTTGTGGAGTGTGGGGCTCTGTTGTCTGAGGCCGATGGTTGTGAGTGGTAATACTATCGCATGGTGTCTGTCTCCCCAGATGACACTTCTGGAGGGCAGCATTGCAATCAGTGGAACCTTTGCTTATGTGGCCCAGCAGGCCTGGATCCTCAATGCCACTCTGAGAGACAACATCCTCTTTGGGAAGGAATTTGATGAAGAAAGGCAAGGAATGTTTGGTTTTCATCATGCTTCCCATCTTGGCCACGTGAGAAGCAAGGCAGCCCGTCAGGAAGCTTCACTCCAGCATTGTCCCTGACCCTGTCACTTTGTGTCCTTCAGATACAACTTGGTGCTGAACAGCTGCTGCCTGAGGCCTGACCTGGCCATCCTCCCCAACAGCGACCTGACTGAGGTACCGGCCTTCCGGCCCCATGCCTTCATGACTGGCTGCATGTTTAGCAGGGAGGGCTGGAGGGGGGGGCATTGCTGTACTCAGCCCCTGCTAGGACACATGCTCCGTGCTGGGACCTGTGTTAGGAAGGCGTTTGTTCTTTAGCGCAGGGACATTAACTCTGCCTGTTTTAAGTACCCAAGTAGTTCGTATGTTGTGTGAATTTTAAACAAAATCCCATTGTGGATTTGGAGTGAATGTTTTTTACTCTCCTTAGAATACTGTATTTTAAAAACAACAGTTTGTGTGGCATGGTGTGTCAAGCTTCTCCCCTAGCCTCTGCCATGCTGGCTCCTTATGTAGCCTGCAGAGAGCCTGCCTCTCAGAAAGAGCCCTTAGCGAAGATCCTTTCTTTGCTCCTCTGCCTGCAGTGCTTTCCCGAGGCCATCGGCGCTCGGGAACTGGTCTGTGCTCGCTGGTGTTAAAGCTCATCTCTGAGAGGTGCCCTGGAGGTCTCTGGGACTGGCAGTTCTATTCACCTGATTTCAGCTAAATCCCTCAAACCAGACTTGGAAAATGGCTTAGTTAGTTCCCAGGTCCCCAGATTAGCAGCGTCTGGCCCACGTGAAACTTGTTTGAAAGGCAGCTCGTGAGGCTGTGCCCAGACCTGGAGCTCAGAGGCTCTGGGCTCGGGCCCAGCAGGCTGTTCTCACAGGCTCACTGGTAGTTGCAATGCACACCGAGCCCGGAAACCTCTGGATTAGTCGAATGTTGTGTAAGGACAAGATTTTTTTAAAAACAGACACAGAGCCAGTTACCATTTGACCATTGACTTATTCATCTGTCCACGTAGGAACATTTCTCAGGTGCTTGTTATGTGCTGGCAACAGGGCAGCAGCTGCTTGGCACTGGTAAAGTAGAGGACAGCAGTCTGTACCCTCACAAAGCTCACAGCTAAGGGCACAGAGTAATGTGATGGAAAAGAGCCCCCCTTTTTGGGCTGTGAGTGGAGAAGAGGTGGAGAGGGTACAGAACCGAGCAGGAGTGACATCTGTCATGTGTTCATAATGTACACATAATTATAAATGGCTCTGATTCCAGGGTGTGGAAGAAGTATTGTGCAGTGATCCCAAGAGCTACTGGGGAGTCGGGGTGAAGGGTGTGTGCTGTATGTGATGTTGGGGTGTTTAGAGTCTGTCAGGGCTCTCGAGTGTTAAGCAGGGTGAGGCACGCTGAGCTTTGTGTTTGGGAAAGCTCTTCCTTCCCTGTGGAGAGTGGATTGGAGGGGGTGCCTGGGGGCAGCGGCACGGCCGGATGTAGGAGCGATTAGTTCTCGCTTCGGGCTGGCTCCAGTTCCTGGAAGGGTCACAGTGCCTGGCAGTTCATCCCGGTGGGAGTTCAAGAGAAGGAGCCAGTTTAGGTAGAGGAGGAGGGAAGTGATGAAGGTGTCCACAGAGCACCACTGTGGACTTGAGCTAGAGGCTTTGCTGTACTTCTTGGGTCCTTAGATTGGTGAGCGAGGAGCCAACCTGAGCGGTGGACAGCGCCAGCGGATCAGCCTTGCCCGGGCCTTGTACAGTGACAGGAGCATCTACATCCTGGACGACCCCCTCAGTGCCTTAGATGCCCATGTGGGCAACCACATCTTCAACAGTGCTATCCGGAAGCACCTCAGGTCCAAGACGGTTCTGTTTGTCACCCACCAGTTACAGGTATGGTGCGCCCTTCCCTAGCGAGGCTGTTGCACCCAATGGCGGGGGATGAGTGTGGTGCGGGGGTTTTGTGGGGCAACCGTGATTCTGGAAATCAGGTTTTCAGTTTACAGGCGGCCACTTTAGAGAGCCACTGAACTCTGTGTACTTCTGAGTGCAGTTGAGGGGATGTGCAATGTAATGCAAAGCTTGTGTAGTTCCCCCTGCAGGTTCATGTTGGAAACAGACGAGATGCTCTTTGAGCTGTAACACAAGGCACAATAAACTAAGGCAGAGCGCTTTGGGCTGATGGTTCTGGGGTGGGGGTAGGGTGGGGTGCTGCTCTAGATGCCAGGAGTGCCTCTGCCCCTAATTTTGATAGCCAAAACTGTTCGAGTGTTGCCGTAAGTCCCTGGGGTCCACAAGTCCTCTGCACTTGAGACCCACTGAACCGAGGGCTGGGATTTTGAGTGTATTTGCACTGGTAACGGCAATACTCTGCTGACCCTGCCTTTGTCTCCAGTACCTTGTTGACTGTGATGAAGTGATCTTCATGAAAGAGGGCTGTGTCACGGAAAGAGGTACCCACGAGGAGCTGATGAGTTTAAATGGGGATTACGCCACCATTTTTAATAACCTGTTGCTGGGAGAGACACCCCCAGTTGAGGTAAGATTTGCTGGGTCTGTGGTGTGTCCCCCTTCCCATGCAGGGAAGGTGTGACTGCAGTGAGTGATGGAGAGCTCAGCTGGCTACAGGATGGACAGGGGCCCTGTTTTCTGGTGATCATACGCTGTGGCGATTCTCCTAGGAGAGCGGGATGAGGGATAGTGAGCCAGATTCTTCTGCTGCTGAGAACTTACTAATAGGAAGATATGTACCATTCTGTGTCATAGCTCAGTTTCCTAAACTCCATCAACCTTGATTGAAGATGAATAAGTGAATAAGGTGCCAGGGCAGGGCAGTTAAACACTGCGTACATTTGGTTGCTGTCTCAGCGACCATTAATACCTAGGGTGTTCCAGGTACCAGACTAGGCGCTGTAGAGACACCACCCTACTTAGTCATTTTGTCGAAGCTGTGTGGTCAAACACCATTGTCTTTCATTTGTACAGAGGAGGGAACTGAAGCTCAGAAAAGTTGAGCAGCTTGCTGATGAGCGTGATTTGACTCCGAGGAGCTCTGGGCCCCACGTTCAGTGCAACCCCGGAGATGGCAGCTTCTCTAGGGTTCCAAGTGAGGTGCAGTCAAGGGCGTACCTACTTAGAGCCGGCCAGAGACGCTGTCCTTCCTCCTCGTCAGCTGCCCTCTCACTTGGGGTCCTGAGGTGACTTAGGCTAACCCTAAACACTACCTTTTTGGCTACCTGGTCCTTTTGATATCAGAGTGAGATGAAGGCAAGAAGTTTTGGGGACCCTTTTTGGGGAGTCTTATCTCCGTGTTGGGGGTTTCATCCCAGGTGCAGCACAAACTAGCTGTGCCTAGTGTTTTTTAGACTTCCGTACATAACTCAAACCTTCCTGGGATCATCAGAAACTTCCAGAGACACCCTGATCCACTCTTCTGTGGCTGCCAGGGCACTTTTGATTCCTCAGCTTCTTGCCTCATCTCTGTAGAGGTGGAGGGAAGATGAGAAAGCAGGAAGCTAAATATGGGAAGGCCCAAGGAGCAAAAGAACATTGAGTCAGTGTGTTGTGGTAGATGAGGCATGCTTTTGGTACTCTCTTAACTTTCAATTTCCTCATCTTAAAAACAGGGTGGTATCTGCCTCTTGCAGTTGTTGCATTGACCACATTAAATAATATGTAGTATTCTTCTCCTAGCAAGTGGTCAGTAGATAGTAATCTCCTTTTAGATGGTGCATTTGTTCATGCACTGTGATAAATACACAATTCAGAGCCCTCTTGTGTTTCAGATGTGGCTCTAAGTTTTATACTTTTAAATTTTCAATGTCAATTTAAAATCTACCGGGGGCATGAGGCTGAAAATATGGCAGAATTGAATGTAGTGAACTACATGAAGGGAATTTCCTATGTAAAGATGAAAAAGGAAGCTGGCAAAGAAAGCATTAAATAGTTTCAGTTGTCTCAGGTTCATCATGGTGTGAGTGCCCTGTTATGGGCAGCTCTGCATGGTAGGCCCTGTGTGGAGATAACCCTGGAAACCATCATCTCTGTCCTTGAGGGACTGGCAGTGTTCTGGAGAAGACCTTGCTTTGATGCTTTCCCAGGTAACTAACACCAGATAGACACAGCACGCAGCAACATGCTAACAGAGCGCCCAGGGTAGCTCCTTATGCTACAGCAGTCTGCGTTGCCCCATGAAAGATGTAAAGTTTGAAGCCATCCGACAGGGACCCCTGTGAGTGAGCTTGGGATGAGAGGAGGGGTGCTCCAAGTGGAGAAGCAAGCATGGACAGGTGTGCACAAAGGGAGACCGGTGTAAGGAGTGGTGTCCTCACTAGGGTGACTGTAGGGTAGGAGCCATGGGAAGCAGTGAAGTGGAGAGGAACTTGCGGAACTAGGCTAGGGCAGAGCCAAGCTGAGAAGAGTTTGGCTTTATCCTGTGTGGCAGCAGAAAACGATCGGATGTATGGATTTGAATTAGCAACGTGGGGATAGAGACAGGAGGAATGGAAGACTCCAGCTGTCACCCTTTGGAGAGGATGAGAAGAAAATAAAGTCTTCAGTGTTTGTCGTTTAGGTCTCAAATGACTTCAGGGACAGCAAAGGTCAGTTGACCAACAGGATAGGAACCAAGACCTCAAAGATTGAAAGAGTTGAGGAAGTAGAAAAAATGAGTATAGGTGGCTCTTTTGAGAAGTTGGATGTACCTCTTTTCAACAATAGTAGCTCAGCCGGGGATTTAGCTCAGTGGTTCTGCCGCCTGCCTCACAAGCTCAAGGCCCCGAGTTCAATCCCCGGTACCAAAAAATAAATAAATAATAATAATAACAGGTCCATAGGTGATTCTGTCGTGTATGCTGTGAACATTCATCTGGATGACTATATCGTGACTGGAGACACTGTTTTTTTTAACCATCGTTAGATCAACTCAAAAAAGGAAACCAGTGGTTCACAGAAGAAATCACAAGACAAGGGTCCAAAAACAGGATCAGTAAAGAAGGAGAAAGCAGTGAAGCCAGAGGAAGGTAATGACTTTTAGAGACTTTTAGATTTGTCACGAATAATGCTGCGTAGGGCAATTTATGATACGTGACAGCATTGTGTGTTATAGAGCACCTGGTCCTATATTTGTCAAATAACAGAATTCCCAGGTGGTACTGGGAGACAGTGAGGCCCTGTTTGCTGAAACTGGGAAGAAGTGAGAATGACCTTTGATCCTACACCTTCTCTTCCTGTGCAGGGTTGGCTCAGCATAGCCAGGTATAGGGAATGACCGGGTCATCCTGGGCAGGGGGAAATGGAGTGCTGGAGAGAGGTACATTACGCGCCTCCTGCCTTTCACCTCTGCATGGACTCAGCCCCAGCCAGTGCCGTGCTGACCAGCTCTGAGTGGGCCACGTCCTCAGAAGCTCAGTGCTGCCAGGGATTTAGCTCAGTGGTTCCGCCACCTGCCTTGCAAGCGCAAGGTCCCAAGTTCGATCCCTGGTACAAAAAAAGAAGCTCAGTGTTATGGCAGAGGGCGCATCCCCTGGTCCTAGTGATAGCGATAGCGTAGCGGAACTTCCAAGAAGAGTTAAAGCTAGTGATTTTTCCAAGTTGGCTTTCCCTACCCAGAGCCCTTGCTTTTGTTGTTTTTCTTTCTTCTTTTCTTTCTTTTGAGGTGAGGGAAAGAAAGGGAGAGGAACTTTTTGTATATTTGTTTGTCAACACTTTTAAAGTTTTTATTTTGAGACAGGGCCTTGCTAAAGTGCCCAGGCACTAGCTCAAACTTGTGATCCTCTTGCCTTGGCGTCCCAGGCGGCTGAGATCACAGGTGAGCGCCACTGTGCTCAGCAGTCTTATTCCTTAAACCCTTTATCTGTCTGCAGTAATGTGGGTGGTTTCATCTTTGTGAATTGTAAGCTGCATGCTGGCTTGTAAATTTTTTTTAAAAATTGCAGCTTGTCTTAAAGCTCTGTTGTTCTTGGGTCACCTCCTCCCCTGAACCTGTTGAATCCTGGGACTGCTGGGTTTACCACTGCTTTCGGGCTGGGCCTCTTTTCACACTCTTGTCCTTAAAAGTGCAGCAGACGGAGGCTGGGGATTTACCCCAGTGGTTCCACCGCCTCCTTTGCAAGCGCAAGGACCTGAGTTCTATCCCTGGTACCAAAAAAAAGAAAAAAAAAGTGCAGCAGACGTTTGGTGTTAAGAGATGACAAGCTGATTTATCACACTCTGCCTTTCTTTCAAGAGAACAAGTATGAATTTTTTAATTGAGGCGTGGTTTAAGATACTTTATTGACTCACCCAAAAAGTAAATAGCACAGAAAGCTGAGACATCTGCTAGTTCCTGCCATAAGCAGCATAAGTCAGCATATCACTAGGGAACATTTGGTTTTTTATGTAGTTACCAACCTAGGTCCTCCTCAGTCTCCCGAGTGCTCAAGGCACGCATGACTTGTTCCAAGGTTATTAAACGTTACCTGTGATGAGGCAGTGGCTTCCTGAGTGGTTGTTTCTGTGTATTCTCAAGTCAGCAGCAGTCATCTGGCCATGCCAGGAAGACCCTAAGAGATGTCACTGAGCCTTTTCTGTCCTCCAGAAGCCAACCAGTCACTGGCCCTATTGAATTTGCTTCCTGAAACTCCATCGCCGTTGTCCCTACCGGGTTTGCAGGCCCTTAGTGATCCTTACCCAGTGTTTAGCTGCCTCGTTTTAAATCTGTGCTCCACACGGACCCCCGAGAGACCTACTTAAAAATGGGAGACCAGCCCCTTACTCTCCCGCAGGAAGCCCTTCAGTAGCCTCCCATTTTCACAGCAGTGTTTTCTATCTCTGTCTTGGTGTAGCATGCAGACAAAATGCTCGTTTTTGTAGGGAATGCAGGGAGGCGCAAAGAGGCCACTCAGAGCAAAGACAGCTGGTCTTGTAGTGTGGCCATCCTGCGTCCACCTGGCCCAGCAGGGTGAGGCGTCCAGTCTCCACACACGTGTGACCCAGTCTCTCCAGACGATGCCTATGGGAGGAAGCTCAGATGCCTTTGTCCCTGGCCACCCTGCCTCCCCAACCAGGTCTCCCCCACCCCCTGTACCATGTGGCAGTGTCTCCCTCTGCACCTGTGGTCATGCTGTTTTCTCTGCCTGTTGCCTCTGTGCCTGGGTGACCGGCTTGCTGAGAGGCAGCACAGGCTACCCCGAGAGTCCTCCCTGAGACCTGCCTGCCCCCTCCCACGCCTCCCTGAGGGGTTGGGCACGCATGTCCCTGGGATGTTCCCTGCCCCCACACGTGGCCCTGTGCACATTTTATCCTGTCATGTTTACCTGCCTGGCCTCAGGATTGTGCTACGATCCTCAGCAAGGTCCTGAGAGGCAGGGCCTGGTCTCAAGCCTCCTTCCTGCTCCAGGGCCTTGTTCTGGGCTGCTGTGTAGTAAATGTTAAATGCATGAAAGAATGAATACTCTGAGGAGGAGGAAGTCATTCTAATCCAGAGCCCTGTGAAACTATAGGCTGTCTGATTAGCTCTTATTAGAAGGAAAACTTATTAAATCAGTTAAATTGAGTAGAATCTATTTAGACAAAACAAAAATGATTTGCCAATCAGGCAGCTCTCAGAACCAGAGCAGGTTCTGAAAACTGCCACCGACGATGTGATCTGACAGCTTACTGTATAGGGAAAGACGTTGGGGTTAGAAAACAACTTAATTGCTACAGCTCAGTCAGCCAGTTAGCTGGTGGCAGCTTATCTGGCTAATTATTTACAGCTTAGTTAGTTGGCTCCTGCATCCTACCAGAGCGCAGTTATTGTGGTTGCTGTATATTGCTTGGTTTTTGGGGCCCTTGCAGGTCCCCAGTCCAAACCCATGGCCTCCTACAAAATTTAGTTCGCACTCTTCCCTGCTAAGGTCATGTTTTTTTCCCCCTTACCCAGGACAGCTCGTACAGCTGGAAGAGAAGGGGCAGGGCTCAGTGCCCTGGTCGGTGTATGGTGTCTACATCCGGGCTGCGGGGGGCCCGTTGGCATTCCTGGTCATCATGGCTCTTTTCATGCTGAATGTGGGTAGCACTGCCTTCAGCACCTGGTGGTTGAGCTACTGGATCAAGCAGGGAAGCGGGGTAAGGTTACTCAACGAAGAGAGGTGTGTCGGTGAATGTGGCTGTCTCTCTGTGGTCCTTGCCTATTCTTAGAAATTCATCTAGTTTTCACTTAAAAGGAGCAAGGAATGAGGTTTTCCAGGATAAAAAGATGAGTCCCTCATGTAGTCTCACAAGACAGGAAAAATAAAACCAAGCCCTGGCCAGCCCATGGGTCGGTAGGGAGTCTGCAGGCCTCCTGCTCTCATCCCTCACAGGCAGGGGCGGAGGCTGGGTGTACTCGGAGGAGAGCACATGCATGGTCCTTATGAGGCCTACGATTCACCCCAGCACTAAGAGAAGAACAAAGAAAGGGTTGGCAGAGCCTGCCTTGTGTTCACCAAGCCAGCGCCCAGAGTCACTTCCTGCAGCCTCCCCTGGGCAGGGGCTCCTGGCTGTCTCTGGGAGCTGGCCTCATAGAGCCCTGCCTCCAACAGAACACCACGGTGACCCGAGGTAACAGGACCTCTGTGAGCGACAGCATGAAGGACAATCCCCTCATGCAGTACTACGCCAGCATCTACACCCTCTCCATGGCAGTCATGCTACTCCTGAAGGCCATTCGCGGAGTTGTCTTCGTCAAGGTACACGGTGGTGGGCGCTGCTGCGCTCTGCTCCCTGTGACCACATGGTCAGCTTCGGCGAGGCATCTCTGGGGGTTCTTCTGAGCAGGGCCCCTCGGCAGCCAGCCTCAGCTGGAAAGACCTTCCTGCCAGGGATGGTGTGTGCTTTCCAGCTTTGGGAGTCTTGCGGAGCAGTGTCCTGGGCCCTGCCTCGGGCTTGGGTCTCAGTCCTGATGCCGTTGTCTCTGCTCCACAGGGAACACTTCGAGCCTCCTCCCGACTCCATGACGAGCTTTTCCGAAGGATCCTTCGGAGCCCTATGAAGTTCTTTGACACCACCCCCACAGGGAGGATTCTCAACCGGTTTTCCAAAGACCTGGATGAAGGTATTTCTTGCTGTCTTTTATGCTCTGGAGCACTGTGCTCTCTGCTCCTTCCACCTTCTAGATGTCCCCCAGGTGTGCAGCTCGCGCTGGCCTGGGATGCTGACACATGATGGCTGGCATTTTTACCAGGAGCCTTTAATCCCAGTTCTTATTGTGCCTTATCTGACTTCAGAGGCTTGAGTTAGCAGGGAGGCTTTGGACAGCGATGTCTGAGCTTCCAGAGCACCTCTTCACTTATGGTAACTCCATTGCCCATAGCCAGGCGTAATAGCACTGCCTCCTCCCCAGGGAGGGTTTCCTGCACCTTATTCTAATTCAGCCACAGAATACATGGGACAGCTGATGTCTAGAAAGCTCAAGTAACTTGCCCAAGGTCATACAACTATTGGATGAACAAGGTGGGAATTAATTGACTGCAGATCTTTTTGATTCCAAAGCTAGACTTTTGTTTCTAACTACTGTACCGTGGCTGCCTCCACAGCAGGAATTTGGTCAGGTGTTGACAGAACAGCATAGCCATAGCCAAAGGTAACAAGGAATCAGAACCACCCCTGGCACCTGAACTGGTGCATAACATGTTTCCATTTCTGTTAAACACACACAGAAAAAAGACAGGAAAAATCAGTGCTATCAGCATACCTGGGATTTACAAAAGTACTTCAGCCAAAAGAAAAAAGGGGTGGGGTAAGGAGATAGCTGAAGAGAGATGAAGAAAATACTGGTAACCATTGAAGGTTCTGTGTCCTTATTTTAACTTGTGTGCATGTTTAAATTTCCCTGATGAAGAATTTCTTAAATGTTAGCAGTAATTTATTGATATTGCTAAGAATATAACTTATCTTTGTTTTACTATTTACTTTCCAAATATTGTACAATAAACATACAGTACTTTGTAAAGGGAAAAAAATGTTTTAAAGGGTTAGGCAGGCTAGTGAACCTATGAGAAGGGGTGGAGTAGGAAGATTAAATTTCCTGTTCCAAGAAGAATGAAAGCAACCAGGTTTCTAAACTTTCTTTCAGTGGACAGTTTAAAGACAGCATCACCATCTTCTGATAGGGTTTTGTGGAGCCTCGAGTTCGCTTTTCCCTGTAATGTTTGGCTCCATTTTGCTTGAGGCCCTGACACTTGTTCCTTTGCGGTTTTCCCAGTCGACGTGCGCCTGCCCTTCCAGGCCGAGATGTTCATCCAGAACGTCATCCTGGTGTTCTTCTGCGTTGGGATGATAGCCAGCGTTTTCCCGTGGTTCCTTGTGGCTGTGGGGCCCCTCATCATCCTCTTCTCAGTTCTGCACATCGTCTCCAGGTAAGCAGGAGGTGTTTGTGTCCGCCAGGGCTGAGGAGGGAGCCAGAGCTGCTGTCTGCCCCTGTGACACAGCGCGTTCTCTTGAAGGGTCCTGATTCGGGAGCTGAAGCGTCTGGACAACATCACGCAGTCGCCGTTCCTCTCCCACATCACGTCCAGCATACAAGGCCTCGCCACCATCCACGCCTACAGTAAAGGGCAGGAGTTTCTGCATAGGTGGGTGCTGCTGGAGGCCAGGGGCTGCCAAGGGAGCCAGCACCCCAGGCTTTAACGAGTCTCTGTTACTGGGATTAATTATTAAAGCACATTGCTAAGGTTATTAGTGGTTTATTTATTTATTTATTTATTTAGGTACTGGGGATCGAACTTGGGTCCTTGTGCTTGTGAGGCAGGTGGCGGAACCACTGAGCTAAATCCCCAGCCCATTATTAGTGGTTTAAAGGAGCAGTGTCCGATTAAAATTCAGTTGTTTGGTGGAACTGTCTTGTGCAAATGAGAAGGCAAAAACAGATCTGGAGTCTGTTGACATTTGGTCCTGAAATGTTGTTTTTGATGATATTTTGCTTTTGGGGGGGAGGTAATAAAAGGAAGTTACTGACATTAGACTACCATTTTATTTAGCCATTGAATATTTCTCATTTATGGAATTTTATGTGCATAGCCATTCTGGAGGTTTGTATTAACAAGAGATTAGAGGGGGCCAGGGCTTTAGCTCAGTGGCGCCACACCTGCCTGGTAAGTGCGAGGTCCTGAGTTCGATCCCTGGTACTGCCCCCCCCCCCAAAAGAGAGCGATTGGAGTTAACCTAATTGTCCTTCAGTATAGGACTGGTGAGATAATCTGTGGTGTGTCCATATTAAAGAATGAGGCAGCTCTGTAGTGTGATACTAGTGAAAGAGCGGGGTGCAGATGTAAGGGTATAATATGTTACCTTTTGAGGATGTGTTTGTGTATATAACATCTAGAATATTTCTGAAAGGGTACAGGAGAAACCATCACTTGTCCCTTGGAGGGGGAACTGAGTAGCTTCAGGATGGGCAGGAGAAAGGCTGACTTCATGGTAAACCTTTTATAACTTTAAAATTTTCCTATTTCGTGTGTACATTGCCTATCCCAAAAATTAAGTAATTGTCTTTTAAAAAAAAATATAGAATAGGAAGGTAGAAAAATTATCTTCAAAATGTTTAATGACTTAGAAAAATATTTCCTAATTTCAAAAAGAGTAGAACCATGTGCAGTAGCATACACCTGTAATACTCAGGAAGCTGAGGCAGCAGGATTGTGGTTTAAGGCCATGCTGAGCAACATGGTGAGACACACTGTCTCAAAAAATAAAAAGGGCTGTGGATGTAGCTCAGTGGTAGAGTGGCCCCTGGCTTCAAACTTCAGTACCACAAAAAAAAATTAAAAATAAAAATAAATGCAATAGATTGAATACATGTGTATGCATACACACAGTAAATGTAAATGGATTGGAGGAAATGCAGTGGAAATTCCATCTGACCCAGCTATTCCCCTCATGTATATATATCTTCCCAAGAGTTAGACATCGTATTACAGTGGTACATGCATACCCATGAGTTTAAGATTACTAGAATTTTACATTTTCCTCTTTGTATTGGATCTTCTAAATTTTACCTAAAGAGCACATATTATAGGTAGGAAACATGATTTTTTAAAACTAAAGCTCAAAGGAAGCAATCAGGGTGAGAAGACTACCTGTAGAATGGGAAGAAATTTTTGCCAGCTATTCCTGACAGAGGACTAATGTCTAATGTATATAAAGAACTCAAAAACATTAGACCCCCTCAAAATAAAAGATCCAGTCAGGAAATGAGCAAATGAAACTAATAGACACTTCTCAGAAGAAGTACAAATGGCCAACAGACATGTTAAAAAAAAATGTTCAAAATCTCTTGCCAATAGAGAAAAACAAATTAAAACAACAGTAAGATTTGGAAGGAAGAATGGCAATCATCAAGAAATTAAATAATGACAAGTGTTGGTGTGGCTGTGGTGGAAAAGAGACCCTTCTGTATTGTTAGTGGGAATGTAAATTAGTACAACTATTACGGAAATCAGTATGGAGACTTCTCAAAGAACTAATAGAAATTCCATTTGACCCAGCTATTTCTCTTCTACATTTCTTTCCAAAAGAGTTAAAGACATCATATTAGAGTGATACATGCCTACCCATGTTTATAGCAGCACAATTCATAACAGCTAAATTGTGGAAGCAGCCTGTATACCTAGCAACAGATGAATGGATAAAGAAAATGTGCTATTTATACATAATGGAATAGTGTTCAGTTATAAAGGATAAACTCAAGACATTTGTAGGAAAATGGTTACACCTGCAAAATATAATGTTAAGTGAAATCAGACACACAAGCTGAAATACCATACAGTATCTCATGTGAGTAAGGCAAAGTACAAATAAAGAACAAAATAAAGGATTGATAAAAGGAAACAGGCAGATAGATCTTTTGCAAATGGGACAGGTCCAGGAGACCTAGTGCAAGGGGAAGGGGAAGTGGAAGTAAAAAGATATCAGATGTGTCACTTACATGTACCAAATACAGTGAATGTAAACATTGTACATCATTAACATGAACTAAAATAACAACAACAATAATGAAAATGGGGAAAGGGGATCTGGAGAGGGAGGGAGGGAGGTGGATGGGGGGAAGGGATTAAAAAGGGATCGAGTTGTATTACGTACATGTCCCCACTCCCTAAGATGAATGTAAGCTCCGTGTACTGCGAACATGTATTAATAAAATGAAGGTTTTAAAAATTAAAGCACATGGGCCCGGCAAAGCCTCCTGCTTTGAAGTTCTGGTTGTACAGGTGACCCGAACCCTCCCCGGGTCTGACCTCTCTAGGACTCCTCGCGTGTGCCGCATGCCCTCCATGGCAAAGGCTAAGTCCCGCTTGCGGTGGTTGAGCTCACTTTTCCTGCTTCTGAGCTCAGTGGCCTCGGGTGGGCTGGTGGTGCACTCCAGCAGCTGCCTGTGTTCGCTCTGAGAGTTTCTTTTCCTTGGCCTTGGACTATCTGTGCTGTTTGCCATTTTAACCTCTTAATAGAGAAGGACCCCTGGCCTGTGATACTGTTTCTTCCTTCTTCTTTTTTTCAATGTGATACTTTTCTAAAGCATAGCATAAGCCTCTCTATTTGGTCTCCTTTTCTTATGCTTTCGCTGTACTGCTACAGCAGGTATTTCTCTCTAATATCTTTAGTATTTATTTACTTATTTATTTATTTTTGGTACCAGGGATCGAACTCGGGACCTTGTGCTTGCAAGGCAGGTGGTGGAACCACTGAGCTAAAGCCCCGGCCCTCTTTAATATTTTTTTAAAGGATAACTAACCTAAGAAAACACTATTTCCTCCTACCTGTGCTCCTGGAGTTCTGTGTCACACGCTTAGTTAGAAGCAGGAAGTATTGAAGAATTTGCCTTGGTTCTGTAGTCCACCGATGCTTTGACATCACCCATGAACAGGGTTCTGTGGGATTGATTTGCCCATGAGGCGTTCTGTCATCCCTGCAGGTACCAGGAGCTGTTGGATGACAACCAGGCTCCCTTGTTCTTGTTCACCTGTGCGATGCGGTGGCTGGCTGTGCGGCTGGACCTCATCAGCATCGCCCTGATCACCACCACCGGGCTGATGATTGTTCTCATGCACGGGCAGATTCCCCCGGCCTATGCAGGTCTCGCCATCTCCTATGCCGTCCAGGTCGGTATCTGGGGAGGGGACAGCACTGTTGCTTGTTTGAGACCTTACTGTGCTGATGTAGCAGAGGCATACATCGGGGACAGGAACTGCACCCTAAGACAGTGTTTTACCCTAGAGCACTGGTGGCAAACCTATGGCATGCGAGCCACAGCCCACTGTTTGTTATCATTGAAAGCTCTAAAAGGTTCAACATCACTGCCCTAGAGTGTCTCCTGGTCCGCTCTGACAGTGAGTCTCGATTTACCCACTTTGAGGGGGGTACAGGGGAGAGGGGCGGGGGTGGAATCCAGGAATGAAAGGATGTAACTGCTGTGTGCGTTTAAGAAATAGGTGCTAGGGGGGCCAGGGATTTAGCTTAGTGGTTTAGCCGCCTGCTGCACAAGGGCAAGGACCCGAGTTTGATCCCCGGTACAAAAAAAAAAAAAAAAAAAGAAATAGGTGCTATTCATACAGAAACTTGATTTTTAGAATAATTTTAAGGATAGTTTCATAATCACAAGTTTCTATGTTCACTACTGTTGTGGTGTCTTTCCAATCCTCTGAGAAATACATCCTCAGTATGCTGCTTTATGCATTTTTCCCTGGGCCACTGATTCTCCCAGCATTCATCTGTCTGTCTGTCTGTCTATCTATCTGAAAAATCCTTCTGTTCCTTAAGGATGATCAAAGGGCTTCACATAGCTCAAAGAGCAGTTGAGAACTTGAAAAGTGACTAGATATTTGAAGATGTTAAGTAATTACTAAAAATGTTTAAATAATGGTACCAGAGTTGTTCTTGGTTTGGTTTTGGTTTTGGTACCAGGGATTGAACTCAGGACCTTGCGCTTGCGAGGCAGGCACCAGCACCACTGAGCTAAATCCCCAGCCTCAGAGTTGTTTTTCTTCTAAAGAGACAAAAGCCAAAATACTGATGTATAAAATGACAGGCTAGCTGAGATTCGGTCCCAGATAATATGGGGCGAGGGAGCAGGAGTGGGTGGAAGCATAGATGAAACAATAGTGATTCTAAATGAATTTTTTTCAGGTGAAGTTTCGGTCCATAGGAGTTTGTAATACTATTCTTTACTCTTGTATATACATGTATATGACATTTTCCCATATTGGAAAGATAAAAATAAGTAACCAGAGCAACTCCAGAGTGCTGTCTTTGCAGATACCAGACTTCCTGTGTGATTGGTGGGGGAAGACAGTGTTACGTGCACTCTGTTCAAAATCCCAGGCTGTGGTGCAAAACTCTGGGTTTATTTTTTTTCTCAGCCTTATCTCTTGTCTTACTTTCCTGGAAGTGTTTTTACTTGTTGCTCACAGATTGAAATCTTTACTGTGACTCCCACAAACAGGCCGAGGTCCTAGTAGGGGGCCCAGAAGTTCTGCAGCTGCAGATGTGTTTTACTGTAAATACAAACATGACTAGAAGCACTTGAGTACAAGAATGCAGCATAGTGCCACCCGCCTTCCCCAAGCACTGCAGTTGATGAGGGACAGTGGGCCCTAAATGTAGGAGGAGGACAGGTCCCTGACATGTTGCTGCCTGTGCTCAGGTGCCCCTTGTAACTGAACCTGCTCTAGATGGAGGAAGTTCTCGTGCAGTGCCTGGCACATGTGATAATGAGTTCTCCTGGACTTTGCTTTCTGTTATCAGTTAACAGGACTGTTCCAGTTTACAGTGAGACTGGCATCTGAGACAGAAGCTCGATTCACCTCAGTGGAGAGGATCAATCACTACATTAAGGTCAGCCTGTTAGAGTCCCCTTGCTGGGATCTGGCCCCTCTGGTGTTCCAGCCTGACCGCTGCGGACAGTGCTGGAGGAGGAGGCTTGCTTTCCTGCCTGTCGTGGCCCACAGGATGACTAGCAGTCTCTCCAGAGAGAGTACCGCAGAGTTTCCAGATATGTTTATAAACTAACCCCAGTTGAGAACTTACTGTTCTGTCCTCCAAAATGTTTAGAATCTTGTTACTTCAGTTTAGCTGACTAATGTAACATTTTCCATATGCTGTATAAAACCCTGTGTTGTTTAATTCTTAGTCTAGTCTGATCTCTTGGGAAAGGAGGGTCCCAGCTCAGTCTCTCCAGCCTAGGGCTTTGGTCCACTTGCGTAGAACCCTGCAGTTTTTGGCTTTTCTCCTCTATAAGCCTGTGAGCTCCGTGGCTAACACCAGAGGTTCTAAGACATTGTGAGGTGTGACTGTTGGTGGTAGAATGACCTAGGCAGTTGTAATACAGCCTTCCAAAGCTGGAGTGGATCCCCCAGGTCATTTAATTTAGTCCCTACAACTTCCAGATGAGAAACTAAGACCCAAAGAGAAGTGGCGTGTCCAGGTCACAGTTATTAGTGCCAGAGTTGAAATGGGCAATTGTGTCTCCTGGGTTAAAGGAGATACTTTATGTCAAAATGCTGTGATCTGATTCGATGTTCAGCTCATGGTGATTTCTTTACTTTGGGTTTAACTTGGGCCAGAGGTATTCCAGTGGTAGGGGCTGATTTCAGAAGGGATAAGTGGTTTCAAAGCACTTCAGTAAAAACTGGTTGAAGAGGGGTAGAAAGTCTCATGCCCTGCCACTCGGTTTCTCCCTCTGTGCACCAGCGGTGCCAGGGAAGGGTTCCCTCAGAGAGAATGCAGTTTGGAAACCTGGGAGCCGGCACTGTGTCTGTCGTGCTTAGTGGTGCTGACCATGTACTGCCAAGGGATCTTCCATAGCCGGGGTCAGGGTGGGAGCTGCCTCTGTGTCACTGCCATGGTGCCCTGCATTCACTTCTCTGTGACTCGGCCCGGCTGCTCCCGAGAGCCTGTGGTCTGTCTGAACCAGCCGCTTTTCTCCCCAGACTCTCTCCTTGGAAGCACCTGCGAGAATCAAGAACAAAGCTCCTCCCCCTGACTGGCCCCAGGAAGGAGAGGTAACCTTTGAAAATGCAGAGATGCGGTACCGGGAAAACCTCCCTCTGGTCCTGAAGAAAGTGTCCTTCACTATCAAACCCAAGGAAAAGATCGGCATCGTGGGGCGGACGGGGTCAGGTGAGCAGCGTTTGCAGGGACCGACTGGAGTGTAGTTTTCGGTCACATCCATCAGCTTATCGAATATCACCTTCTTCCTCACAAGCCAGCTCCATTAGACGAGTGACTAGAGTGTCTCAGGCTTCTCTGAAAGGAGCTCTTCCAGGTTGGTTTTTAACCCTGCTTGTTGAGACATGTAGTGAGTGATTCTTCTCACCGTAAAGGCCTGCACTGTCAGAACAGAGTACTTGGAACATGTGGCAAAGTACCATGGAAGGAAAGCAGCCTGCTCCATTACCCACAGTGAGCACTGGTGACAGCTAGGTGGGTACCTTGTTCGGTCTCTCCTGCTAACACACATCTTAACGGAGATGTGGTCATTTCACACACTCTGCTTTGTGGCCTGCTTTTAAAACAGTCAGTATTTCCCCATGTCACTTAGGGAGTGCTGTGCAGCATAATACAGTTCTGTGTCATGGATGTGCCATGACCTACATTTCAGGGACTGGCCCCCAGGTGATGAAGAATTGAGGCTGTCAGTTTGCACTGCAGTGAACATCTCTTTTTCTATGAAGTTAAAATATGAGAAGAAGTTGAACGACTTTGTGATCTATTACTAGTATAGCCTTATTTTTGCCAGAAACTTGTGCAACTCTAAGGTACCTATAGTCCTTTGAAGATAGAAATCATTTTCCTAATCTGTTGTCACTTTTAAAGAAATAGAGAATTAGACCAAGCATGGTGGTACACACCTGTAATCCCAGCACTCGGGAAGCTGAGGCAGAAGGACCACAGTTTCCAAGCCTGTGGGGGCTACATAGTGAGTTCAAAGCCAGCCTGGACTGTGAGACACTGTCTTAAAAAAAATACCCACAAATAGAGAATTAACCTTTGTTTTAGACATTTTATTTGATTCTTAGATACAGGTTTATATATATTCTTTCGATTTCTAGAATCAAGACGTTAAGTCCTTTCTTTCCCTCTCCTTCAATGACATTTCAAAGATCGCCCCTTCTTTACGTAACCTGTTTATGCTGGAAGAGATTTCTCTGGTGCAGTTATCATTAGCTTTCTTTCTGGGCTCCATGGTTTGTTGGGTTCAAAACTCTTCTAGCTTTTTTTCTTGCCATGAGGGAAAAACATTTTTTTAAAGGGACTTTATCTTTGGTCAGTTTACTTTTAAAAATCTTAGGCCTTAGGTGTAGTGGTTTATACCTATAATCCCAGCACTTGGGAGGCTGAGGCAGGAGAATTGGTGTGGGGTACGTTTAAGGGCAGCCTGAGCTACATAGTGAGTTAAAGACCAGCCTGAACTACACGGTGAGACTGTCTAAAACAAACAAACAAACAAAAATATTCTTAAGAGAAAAAAAAAAATCCTTGCCTGCTCTCTGTTTGAGGGAATTACCTCACGTCAAAACAACACACTTCCTCTCTGGGTGTATTAGACAGGAAGATGATCTTCAGCCAATGAGGGCAATGTCCCAGAAGCCCTTGCTTTGCCCTCTCCCTCAGACCGCCTGCTGCTGTGGCCCCAGGGTGCACTGCTCTCCTCCTGAAAGCCCACTGATGTCCTTTCCTGTGGTTTCCTTTCAACGCAAGTAAGAGAGATCAAATGCTCACCAGTACCTTATTAAACAGTAGGTACTGGGCCAGGGATTTAACTCAGTGGTTCTGCCACCTGCCTCACAAGCGCAAGGACCCGAGTTCAATCCCTGGTACCAAAAAAAGCCAAAAAACAGTAGGTACTGACAGAAGAGAAATAATGAAAACGACAGGTGCCAGGCATGGTGGCACAGGCCTGTACTCCCAGCACTCTCCAGGCAGAGGCAGGAGAATCGCCACAAGTTCGAGGCCAGCCTGGGCTGCCTAGTGACTTCAGGGCCAACCTGAACTACAGAGCGAGACTCTGTCTCAAAAAAAGAAAAAAACAAAAACAAAAACAAAACAATAGGTAATCTGACTTGCAGAGTCTAAACTCCAGTCCGGTGTTTCAAACCCAGCACCTTTTGTGCAAGGAAGAAAACTGACCTGTTTATTTGAGCACCATTCCTGCCCACGCCTTATCTATTTATTTATTGCAGTACTAGAGATTGAACCCAGGGCTTTCACACTGCACTACATCCCCGGCCCTTTTCTATTTGATCTTGTTAATTTTGCTAAGTTGCCTAGACTGGCCTTGACTTTGCAATCCTCCTGCCTCGGCCTTCCGGAGTGCCAGGATTACAGATGTGCCGCCACACCTAGCCCACACTTACATCGTAAAGTGCCTCGGTCCTGAGGCACCTGCTCCCTTCCTTCCTTGCATCAGTAGGGTGTGATTACCAAGTCCCCCAGTTCGGAATAGAGTCACTCATTTCTAGAACCATCCTGGTATGGACCAGGTTTCCCCACTTAGCTCTGGTAGGTGCCTGCGAGGGTGCTGCATTAGGAAGATGGGTGTTGGCTGGGATTCCCGCTGGGTGGTTGTCTTGTCGCCAGTTCAGACCAGGGAGTTTCACTTGAGACTCAGGCAGCCTGAAGAGGAGACACAGTCATGAAATTGTCTGAACGTGCCTTCACCCTCAGCTGCTCAGCTCAGCCTTCTGCCAGCCCTCGTGGCAGTCTACATTTATACCAGAATGCGCATAGTAGCCATGTGCCAGTAATGACCAAGGCCGTGTCAGTTATTTACGCTGAGACCGACAACGTGCACCTGTGTTGAAATCTCCCTGACGTGGACTCAGTGTGCATTGGAGATCACCTGCCCCCAGCCTGAACCATAGTGCAGCAGTGGTTTGACCGGATCCTACCCAGCAGACAAACCCTGGCAGCAGGAGTGTGGCTGCCGACACCAGGGACTGGGTGGGCCACCTGCACCCATGGTAGCTGCTGCACGCAGAGAGGGTCCTGCTGAACTCCTCGAAGCCCTCATGAGGAGTCTGAGCACATGAAGGCAGGAGAAGTGTCCGAGGGTCAGCAGCCAGGGCCTGGCCAAGGAGAAGTGGAGCAAGGGGGAAGTGCTGTAAAACTACACTGTGGGTCTGGGTTGCAGAAAGTGGTTTTGTTTGTTTATTTGGGGGATTTTTGTGTTTGCATAGAGAGCACCTTTTAAATGTTTATATCCTTTTGCATAGTCATTTTAGTTCTGAGAATTTACCCCAAGGAAATCGTCTGAGCTGTAGGTAAACTGAGCCCTGAGATCTGTACCACATTATTATTGTAAGTTTCACGTCAAGCAGACACCAGTGCCAGAGGAGTAGGCTGCTAAGTAAAAATTAGGGTAGGGAGTTTGAGAGATGGACACAGTCTTCCTGCATTACATAGCTTCTCTTCTCTTTGTAAAAATTGCTTGAACTTGCCTTGGTATCTCTTTTTTTTTTCCTTCCTTTTTCTGTTAGACCACGCTTGCAGCACATAATGATTACATTGATTTTGGAGGAGTTTGTACATGTACTTTACACATCTTAATTTATGTAACTTTTCAAATGCAGGTCCAATTAAACGTCCCCCATCCCTGCAATGGAACTCATTAATTTGGCCACCAGACCTGCTTCTCTGCCACAGTTCTCCGTCATTCAGGTGGCGTCACCGCCACTCACTCGCTCAAGCCAAACCCCCACCCTTCGTGTTCCCCAGAACCTCCTCCCCTGCTGCGGTGGAGCAACAGGCCTTGCCCCAGCCCCTCCCTCAGCCACAGTCGAGGGACAGGGCAGAAGGCCTCTTGGCTTCTGGTTTGCCCCCAGCCCTAACCCTGACCCTGCCTGGGAAGCACTGCACCTATGCACCTGTGGTCAGGGGACCCTGAGGTGAAACAGGTGCTTCTGGTCTATGCTCACCCCTCAGGCTGCAGCTGCAGCATTTAAACATCTGCTATGTGGCTACATTTTCCTCTTTTCCTGTGGTTTCATGCATGTCTCCATCAAAGTAGTGATCGACTAGACCAAAAAAACGATTTTTCCCTGAGGCTGAACCAGTTTTGTCTCCCTGAAATCACTAACAGAGCCACTTTCCCACCTGTCTTCTGGTCACCAGGGAAGTCCTCCCTGGGGATGGCCCTCTTCCGGCTAGTGGAGTTGTCCGGAGGCTGCATCAAGATCGACGGAGTGAGAATCAGTGACATTGGCCTCGCCGACCTGCGGAGCAAGCTCTCCATCATTCCTCAAGAGCCGGTGCTGTTCAGTGGCACCGTCAGGTGAGGCCTGGGCCCTGGGTACTTTGTGCCTCGGGAGACCGGGTGGGCACCGTCCCACGGCCTCTGCCTGGGACCGAGACCCTAGGACTTTGGGTCCCCTGACTTCCCTACACTGTGTGCTTTGTGTTGTGGAAGTGAGAGGTGGCCGGCTGTGCAGCAGGTTGTATAGAGGTGGAGAGATTTGGCCTCAGAGCTCTGCCCCTTGAATGGAGACATTACTCCTACGCCTGGTTCTCACCTAGAAATGGGAAGGTTTTAAAGATTCGTTGTGCAGATTAAGTAAATTCATACAAATAACATCAACATAGAGCCTGCCCTGTGCAAACCTTCAATGAATGGTAGCTGATGGCATCATCTTCCTCACCCTCATACTGCGCCTTTGCCCGCTATGTTCTGCCAGCTTTCCTGGGCTTGCCGAAAGCTGCAATTCTAAGGAAGGCTTTCAAGCGTTATGGCCACTCACGTTCACTTTTCATTTTGTAGTATCTACCTCTCTCTTTGTCTGTGTGCAGAGAATAGAACCCAGGGCCTCATGCAGGCCAGGCAAGTGCCACGCCCCTGTGCACTCCAGTCTTCTTCCCCATTCTTTGTTTGATACTTTCTCTGGGATGATTTCTCTCTGAAATCTGCTAGTGTCTACACCGAAAACATTCCCCTTCCTGGCTTGTTAACATAGTAACCAAGAAGGAAGTCACCTTTCCTATGTTATCCTACCCTTAAGTTCTGCCTCCTAAAACTTTAGGTTCTCATAATTAAGTCCATTTCCATTCAAGCTACCACTCTTTGGAAATAAAAATGCTTTAACTGTATAATTGACATAGATTGGACTTCTTTAAAATCATTCTAAAAGTAATATTGCCATTTCCTCTTTAATCTTTAGTAGTTGCCAAAAAAGAAAAATAGGTACCAACTAAATTTTCGATGACCATTGGCAGTGTTCAGACTTAACAGTTTATCCTGCGTGTCACTCCGGCAGGTGTCACTTCAACGGGTTGATTCTTATATTGGATAAATTTGATAAAATTGTCCCTTTTATATTTCCTGTTATACTATAAAATTAACAAAAGCAGTTTTTGATCATCCTGTATTTAAATAATTGGACTGGTAAGTGGTTGAAGTTAAGTGCCTCCTCTTCTTTGGAAATGGTGTTTGAACTCGTTTATATCCGGGGAGGCTTAGTAGACACTTCGGCTCCTCAGGTGCTATAATAAAATGCTGTAGGCTGGCTGACATAAACAACAGAAACTTGCTGCTTGCAGTTCCCAAGGCCCCTGGAGAAGGGCCCTTTGTGGTTGGTGACGATGGCCTTTCTTCAGTGCGTGTCCAGAGAGCCAGCAAGCCTTGGTGTTTCCTCTTCCTCATTCTCTTCTTCCAAGGGCACAGATCTCACCAGACCCCTTCCTCATAACCTTGTCTAACCTAATCGTCTCCCAAGTCCTCAGCTCCCGACCGCCCCACTGGGGAGGCAATGGCTTCACACCAGAGCTCCAGCCTGAAGTGCACACAGTTTCTTCCAGAGCAGTAATCAAACTGAGCTCCTACCCACTTTCCCAGGGCCAGCTCTCCTGGGCGTGGTGTTTTGTTTTTTGGGGGGTTTTTTTTGGTACCGGGGATCGAACTCAGGACCTTGCGCTTCCGAGGCAGGCGACGGCACCACTGAGCTACATCCCTGGCCCAGCTACTTTTTTCTTACCACTTGACTCTGGGCATTTTGCCACTACTCATCAGACCTCAAGTAAACTCTTGACTAAGGGCAGCTAATCCACTGACTGGCCAAAAACCTATAGTGTATCCTGGCAGGGACAGATAAACTGAATAATCTCTCTCTCTCTCTCTCTCTCTCCCCCCCCCCCCTTCCTCTCTCTCTCCCTCTCCCTCCCCCTCCCCCCCCTCCTCTGAATTAAGAAGTAGAAATACCACACCCACTATCCCAGCACTTGGGAAACTCAGGCAGTAGGATCACAAGTTCAAGTCCTGCCTAGAGAACTTAGCAAGACCTTGTCTCAAAAGGGCTTCGGCAGGGCCGGGGATTTAGCTCAGTGGTTTTTCTGCCTGCTGCACAAGTGGAAGGACCCAAGTTCCATCCCGGTACCAAAAAAAAACAACAAAGGGCTTGGGGGAGGTTTGGGGGCTGTACGCAGGGCTGTAGCTCACTGCAAAGGCCCTGGATTCAACCCAGGGCGGGTGGGGGGAGAAAGAGAAGGTGGAGAGAAGGGATGGAGAGGGAGGAAGAAATAGAAATATAGGACTGGGGATGTGGTTCAGTGGTAGAATACTTGCCTAACATGCATGAGGACCTCACGTTGATTCCTAACACTAAAAAAAAATTATTTTCAGTAGAAAGATACATAATGGGGATGTATGACTTAAATCCAAGAAGAATCCCCTGGGCGTGTTTGTTTCTAGAGCTGAACATGGGCATTGTGCTCTGGATCCTCTGATGATAAGGAGTCTTTCCAGTCACTGACTAACAAGGTCATGCAGGCAGTGTCAGGAGAGATGAGAATATATTGAAGGCTCAAGTCTGAACTTAAGGAATTACAAAGTTTTATCACATTCACCTTCCCATAAAAATGTAGTTTTACATGGTAAAGAAACAAACACAAAGGGAATGTTAAACTTTAGCCTTCCATTGAAAATGCTGCCAACAAAAGGCCTCATTTTTAATTTTAAGATTTTGAGTGAGGGCCAGGGATTTAGCTCAGTGGTTCTGCCGCCTGCCTTGCAAGCGCAAGGACCTGAGTTTGATCCCCGATACCAAAAAAACAAAAGAAAAAGATTTTAGAGTGAATCAGGGGCTAGGAAGTGAGCATGGCACGTGTCCTGTGTTGGGGCTGCTGTGGAAGGTGCAGCTTCCATGGGATTGGGGCCGCTTGTGGCAGCCAGAGAGAGGTCACTGGCCCTGCACGAGCCCAGAGGGAGCTGGAGTGCTGCCGCCCTGGGCCTGTGGTTCCCATGCCGAGTGCTGTTCCGGCTGTCAGCTGTCTAAACTAGAAAACCGCACGTTTACTTTTCTGCTGGCTCTGATTTTGGCTTTTCAGTCAGGAGTAGACACTAAGGAGAATTGGATCTCAGAATGTCCGTCCTGCTTTCTTACAGATCTCAAAAGAACATGCAGCATTTTATCTTCTTTTACTTTTCTTGTTTGTTTTTTGAGACAGAGTCTTGCTTTATAAGTGCAGGCTGGTCTTGAACTTACTGTGTACCCCAGGCTGGCCTCAAACTCCTGGTGATCCTCCTGCCTCAGCCTCCCGGGTGCTGGAGTGCTGGGATTAAAGGCATGCACTATCACACCTGGCTCTCTTGCTTTTTTCTTAGTTAGAAAAGCCTGGGATAAGTTTCCTAGCTCTCCAGAAAACAGAGTTAGACCTGCTTCCCCAGGTTCTTGACCTTCAGTGAACTTTTTCCAGCATCTTAAATTTTCCAGATCTACCTCTCCAATCTTGAGAAAAATTTTCAAACAGTCTGCTGCTCTTTAATCTTTGTCATTTGGTCACCTGATTTTACGCTTAACAACTGACAGTTGCAGTCAGCCCTGAAATGCTGCATGAGCTCTGTGGAGAAGGCCGGTGAGCCCCAGAGTCTCTGAGGACCGAGGCAACGTAGGAGGACAGAGGACAGCGGACAGCGAGCCCAGCCCCATGCCTTCTCCCACACCTGGAGAATTGCTGTCGCCTCGCACTTTGGGAGGTGTTCTTGGCTTCGTTTAGCAGTCCTTAACCAACAGGGCAGCCTACAGTATTGCTAAAAATAAAATACACAAAAACAAAAATGGAAGTGTACCTTTGGCAGCATCAGGATCTCAGGAGTCCTGATGAATACAGGCAGTGCCCTCCTGCCCCATCTGCCCAGCTGAGCACTGTCGATGTGCTGGGTGCCGGCTTGGCTTTTGCTTGGCTCTGCGGGCCCAGGACACCTGGCTTCTCCAGTGAGGCTGTTTCTTCTCTCCCGATGAGCACCTGGTAGAGTAGACTGGTCTGCCCTGCTGTGTGCAAGGGTCCCTTACACACTAGAACTCACTCAGGCTTCCAGCCACCCCCCACCAGCTGGAGCCATGGCCCCAGGTTTGAGCCTGTCAGTGACTGTGGAGCTCTCGCCTTAGGAAGTCATGTGGGGCAGGCAGCTGCCCTCTGGTGTACGTGCCATCTGCTTGATGAGAAGTTTGCTGGTGTATGACCAAGTATATCAGTCCTCTGTGTCCTCGGCTTCTGTGCCTGCAGATTCAGCTAACCTTGAATTTAAAATGTTCCCCGAAAATTGGATCTGTACTGAGCGTGCGCACTTCTTTCCTTGTCATTCCTTAAGCAATAGAATATACCAACGATTTTTATAGCATTTGTGTTGTATTAGGCACTGTGAGTAGTCTAAAGTTGGTCTGAAGTATATGGGAGATGTGCATGGATTATATGAAAATGCTGTGCCGTTTTCTGTCGGGCACTTGAGCAACATGGAGTGCGGTATCCTCAGGGGGCCCTGGAACCAGGCCCCTGGGGACACCGAGGGACAACTGTACCAACAGGCCAGGTGGTTTAAACCAACAGACGCATATGGCCTCACAGTTCTAGAGGCCGGAAGTCTGAAAGCAGGATGGCCCAAGGGTCGTGGTCCCTCTGAACCTCGTAGGGGAGCGAACTTCCTCTCCTCTTCTGGCTTCTGACTGGTAGTTGGCAGCCATCTGCAGTCCCTTAGCCCGTAGATGCATCGCTCTGTTTCTACATCCTTGTACGTGATGTCCGGTGCTGTCCAGTCCCGTTCCTTTGGTGCCATCCTTGATTGCCATGAGGCGGACGTAGTGTTACAGTAAGCAAAGGTTGTCCCAGCCATTCTCTGCACCAGTAAAGTCCCTCTCTCCCCAGTTGCCCTTCTCCCTGTGTCCTTTCTTCTCTGCCGCGTGAGCGCCTTCTGCTGGTCGGGCAGCTTCTGTGGCTCTCTGGTTCAGTGGGCGGATTGCTGAGTTTGTGCTTAGAGACAGATGTGTTTTAACATGTGGGCAGAGAACAAGCCTGTGTGCCAAAACGCTAACAGTGTTTGTTTCTAGGGTATCATTTTGTTTTCTGTCTTGTGTAACTGTTTTTAAAATTTTTCCGTGATTAACTTATTTATGTAATAAAAACAATAAAAGTTAAGTCAGGTTTTATAGAGAAGAACAGAAAGCCCGGTCAGCTCTCAGACTTCCTCCTGTGGCTGGCTGGGCAGTGAGCCACCTGTGACCGCCCGGCTGGAGTCCTCTGTCCTCCTTCCCGTGTGCACGGGTTCAGCTTTGACCACAGATAACCACTGCACATTGGTTGCTTAAACACTGGCCTCTGAGAAATTCCTCTTATGCTTTTTGCTAGATCAAATTTGGACCCCTTCAACCAGTACACCGAAGACCAGATCTGGGATGCCCTAGAAAGGACGCACATGAAAGAATGTGTAAGTGAAGTGCAGGGGGAAGAGGGGGAATGACATAAGGAGCTGCTCTCACTCCTCAGCCTGATCTGGCTTCCTGTGGCCCACAGTCACTGTCCCCTGTACCTCCAGGATGTCTGTGGAAGAGTGCTTCCCAATAGGGCTTCCCAGGCATTTCAGACACCAACTAAAATTTGCTGTCCTTGCTGCACCTCCCACACCGCCTGCCCATGGTCATGTTGGCTTTATACTCTTCACTGGGAGATATTAACGACAACTATTTAAAGCTCAGTGATGCTTTTAATTTCTGTTCATCACTAACAGTCTAACTTTGGGAAAGATGTGTAATTTACTGAGTATGCCGGAAATGCACCGTGTGCATGAGGATCACAGACCTCACCAGCCACCGGCCTGCAGATGGCTCTGCTGCCCTGGGTCGAGTCCTCCCCTGATTCCACTGACTTGGCCCTGCTTGCTTCTCTCTTCCTCGGGGCTTCCTCAGACAATTTCATGGCAAGAATGAGAGGCTCTACGGCTCACATGAAGAGAAGCGGGCAGTCGTGGGCCTGCAGTATCTGGGCTGACGGAGTGGGAGTTTGTGTACCTTCTCCCCTTGCATGACCATATTTCCAAGATCCAGAAGTGCGGGCTGTCTGACAGGACTGGGGATGCATGCATGTTGGAATTTCTAGGCTGTTCCAGTGGCGTGAAGCTAGAAGCACGGCGGGTTTGAGACCGGACTGTCCCAGACAGTGGGTGCTGCTCACATGCACCTTCTTCCAGATGAGCCTGGTCCCGTTCATCATTCTGTCATCTGCTTCAGAATAATTTCCTTTTGCCCTTGGATTTCTGAGCAGCTTAGTTTGGCTCTTTACCCTCCATTTCTCTACTTCCTCCTCCCTAGGTCACTCAGCTACCTCTGAAACTTGAATCGGAAGTGATGGAGAATGGAGACAACTTCTCGGTGGGGGAGCGCCAGCTGCTGTGCATCGCCAGGGCCCTGCTGCGCCACTGTAAGGTGAGGACGCCGGGAGGGAGGCGCGGGGTCAGGTGGGCGCCTAGCCCAGAGGCCCGGGTCCTTGGCCTCCTAGCCCGGTAGACTTGCCCAGAGCACGGCTGGCCTTGTTTCTGAATTGACCAGCTCTCGGGCTGGGTTCCTGGGGATCTTTTCGTCCCTTCAGAATACAGGGACAACTTTGTTTCAGTAGGTACTTGTGGTACTGCAGGCCACAGACGGGTTTTATTTAAAGGCTGCAAGATAGCCGCCAGGCACAGTGGCGCTTCCTGTAATCCTAGAGGCTTGGGAGGCTGAAGTGGGACGATTGCAAGTTCAAGGCCAGCCTGGGTCACTGGGCAAGAGCCTGTCTGAGAAAAGGGCTGGAGTTGTAGCTCAGGGCAGAGGGTCTCAGTTCAATCCCCTGTACCGCCAAAAACAAAAGCCAATGACCTCTAGGTCATCTGCCAGATGTTTCATAGAAACAAAAAAAGGGGAGGTCCGGAAAGGCTCCTGTACATGTCACAGAGCCAGCACTCTGTCTTCCGTTTGTCGAAATCAAGGCAAATATGGGTTAGATCAGTTCTAAGCAAGACGGTATTTTTACATATGTGTGTACTGAAAAGGAACAGTATATGCTATAAAACTTAATGAACCATTTTAACGTGACTAAAATAAACCAGAACGCTTAAGGAATTAATCGGATCCCTCTTCCTCTCTGGTTTTGCTGGTTAGATTCTGATTTTAGATGAGGCCACGGCCGCCATGGACACAGAGACAGACTTGCTGATCCAGGAGACCATCCGAGAAGCGTTCGCAGACTGCACTATGCTGACGATCGCCCATCGCCTGCACACGGTTCTAGGCTCTGACAGGATCATGGTGCTGGCGCAGGGGCAGGTACGGAGCCCTCGGCCTGGCACATGGCGTTTTCTGGGAGGAAGACCAGCCTGTCCCAGGGTGGGCTGGTTGCTAGTTGCTGGTGGCCTTCTTTACATGGTTCGGGCATCAGATAAGCAGCCAGGGCAACTCGCCCCTGGGTGCTGTTGGGAGGATACGGTTGAGAGGTCGACTCGGGCAGCCTTGCACCACGCTCTTGTTTACCACTTGTTCCTTTGTTGCTTGGAAGCAGTGACACTTTGACGTAGGTCGACGAGTGCACGCACCTAGTGATTCATTCTCAAGGCTTGGCCAAGGTTTACTGCAACCAGCCAGCCCGTGCCTGCCTTTGACAGTCACGTAGTGGTGCCTGACGACTTCTGTTACAGCGGACTTTCCCTTCCCACAGCCGGGCCCTGGCCTGACCTCCTCCATTCCCATTCTCCCCTTGCCGGTGACCTTGGTGACAGGCAGTCTCGGGTCCCCTGAGCTCAGTCCTTCTCTGTACTCAGATGTACCCATCAATGGGAAGAAGCTTCGTGAAGCTCCCAGGTTGCCTCGACCACCAGCAGCTATACCTGTCCCTCCCTGGTAGCTCCTCTGCCTCATCTGTAGTGACTGCAATGCCCTGTGTCCCTAGAGAGCACCCTGCAACAAGGGGGACCATGCTCAGAACTACAAGTAGTTGTTAAGTAAACTTATGTTGAACAGACAACTCCTTTGTGTGTCTAGGGATGGAAATAAATTAATGACTTGTCATTAAATTAATGACAAGCCGTGTATCATGCCTTTTTCTGTTACTAATAACAGTGGCACCATAAGCCAGCTGTGGTGGTGCACACCTGTAATCCCAGCACTCTGGGAGACTGAGCCAGGACAATCAAGTCTAAGCCCAGTCTGGGTAACTTAGCAACTTAGCATGACCCTGTCTCAAAAAATACAAAGGGCCAGGAGTGCGAAGGCCCTGAGTTCAGGTCCCAGTACTGCAGATAATAACAGTAATAGCACCATAGTAGCTACATTATTGTCTGTGTATTCTGCAGTGTACTTGCTGCTTCATGCTGCATCTCTCAACGTGTAGTTGGGAAGGAGACAGAGTTCTGCTTTACAGAGGCAGAGATGGAGGGCTCAGGACTTGACCTACCTCAGGCGGCAGGAGGTGGAAGGGTTGGGTCTGGACTGTGGCAGACCGGTGACTCCAAAGCCAGTGCTTTACCCACTACACCCCATCTCTGGAAACACTGAGAAAAGCACTGAACAGGGTGGCTCAGCCTGTCCTTGAAGGCTGAGTTGAGAAAATAGAGGGATAAAGATTTTTCTCCTCAATCTTACTCTTTTTTTTGGTACCGGGGATCAAACTGAAGACCTTGAGCTTATCATAATACTAAGGTAGATGGGGCCAAGAACATCTTCTGAAATTCTTTTTTAAAGACACAAACCCGGCCCACCATTTCTAGGCGTGGCTCCCTGTTTTGGAGTTAGGGAGTGATTGAGGTTCTTTTCCTGTTAATTAACTCTTCTACTTCCTGTTGCCCTGAGGTAGGATCAGCTCCTCCCTCTAAAGCATAGAGTTTCCAGTCTCCGGGTTGCTGAGAGGATTGTGTACTTGCTGCCAGCGCTAAGCACAGTCCCTGACATGTAACACACTCAATAAAAGTAGGTTTTGCAGCACCATGATTATTAATGACGGAAGACAAGGTACCCGTGATACATGGCTTATTTCAGCCAAATCATTATTTTTAGGAAAACCAAAACAACACAAAACAAAGTATAAAGGCAAAAACAAGATCGCAAGTCATTTGCCTCCAGAGATAAGCACTGCAGCACGCAGTGTCCACAGACGGGGCGCTCCACGCCAGGTCACGGCACCGGATGAGCGGCACGCGGAGTGGGAGGTAGAGAGTGCTGCCGCCGCCGTACCTCAACGGGTGCCTGCCCTTCCCGCTCTCCTGCCCGACTCCCCGGAAGCCCGAGGAGACCCCTGGCGTGCGCCTGCGCGGTTCTGTCCTGTGCCTTTGCCGCCTCTGACAGGACACGAGGGAGATGCTGCCTGCGGATCGCTCCTCCTGCAGTCTGATCTCTGCGGCTGCACACAAGTCCGTCAGAGGAGTCGACAAATGACGAAGTCTGTCCCTGACTACTTTTTCCCTACCAACGAGCCTTCTGAGCTCTTCCTTCTTTGTCTGTAGGATTAGGTCAGCTTGCACAACAAAACGACGTGTGTCTTTTGCTTTGTCGCGAGCCTTGATGCCCACCCCATCCCTGTAGTTTATAGACCTCTTGATCAGTTTCTTCACTCCCAAGGCTGAAAGAGTTGGGATTTGTGCAAAGGAGGTCGGGGCGGTCTTTCTTCCTGACCTTTCCCTTTCACCGCAGTTATTTTTAAAATGGGCGCAGCGAGACTGGTCCCTGGCGCCGTCCTGGGGCTCTGGGCTTGGCCGGCATTGCCGCCTCCAGGGTGAGTCCTCTGAACCACCCCAGCCGTCCGTGGCCACACGCTGACGCTGGCTCCTCCTCTTGCAGGTGGTGGAGTTTGACACCCCATCCGTCCTCCTGTCCAATGACAGTTCCCGGTTCTACGCCATGTTCGCCGCTGCAGAAAACAAGGTGGCTGTCAAGGGCTAACTCCTCCCGCGACGGACGCAGTCTCCTCCCTCGGAGCGTCCCGCCATTCCCTGCCTGGGGCGGGGCCGGCCCCTCATCCTGTTGTCCAGCCGACCTTGCCTTTCGCACAGCAGTCCAGGATTGGCTTGTGTGTTTCACTTTTAGGGAGAGTCCTATTTTGATTATTGTATTTATTCCATATTCATGTAAACAAAATTTAGTTTTTGTTCTTAATTGCACTCTAAAAGGTTCAGGGAACCGTTACTATAAATGTATCAGAGGCCTATAATGAAGCTTTATACGTGTAGCTATATCTATATATAATTCTGTACATAACCTATATTTACAGTGAAAATGTAAGCTGTTTATATTAAAATAAGCACTGTGCTAATAACAGTGCATATTCTTATCATTTTTGTACAGTTTGCTGCACTAGAGATCTGGTTTTGCTGTTAGGTGGTAGGAAGGGTAGCGTTTTGTTCTCTAGCTGGTTTCGCAGTGCTGGGCTTCTGGGTGTCCAGAGGAAGGAAGACAGGTGGCAATAGTGGGCCCTCTGAGGCCCTCCGCGCCCTTCCCCTTACCACTCCAGGGATGAGGGGCAAGGCAGGCCGAGCAGGCCTCAGGAGGCCTTGCAGAGCTCCGTGAATTCTCAGGGCTCCTGCTTCGTGTCCTGGTGTCACTTCCTGTCCTGTCAGGAGAGCAGCGGGCGAAGCCCCAGACCCTCTCCCTCCCTCCGTCACAGGCACATTCCTCAGAGCGGGGAGTTTCTCTCCTGTGTTTCCTTCTCTTGCTGTTGTTTCTAAACCAGAACCAGTCTGCACAGAGTGTCCCACTGCCTCAGGTTCCTAAAGCTGGCCACTGCGCAGAGCTCTCCAGCTCCGAGACCCGTCAGTGCCCAGCCAGGGGCCGGCTGCTGCTTCTTCAGGTGGTACTTTCATTTGCCTGTTCCCACACCTCCACAGTTCAGTGACAGGGTTCAGGGTCATGTGGGCCTGTTCTCCTCTCTCACTGCAGCTGTTGCACAGTCTCCCCTTCTCCAAAGTCTGCAACTTTCAGCAGCTCTTGCTAATCAGTGTCTCACACTGGCGTAGAAGTTTTTTGTACTGTAAAGAGACCTACCTCAGGTTGCTGATTGCCGTGTGGTTCGGTGTGTTCCTGCAGACCCCCTTCGTGCTCTGGGGCCCATAGCTCAGGTGGGCGTGGTTGCTGCTGTCATCCGTCGAATGGTTAGCGTTGCATGTCGCGACCAACTAGACCTTCTGTCGCCTCAGCATGTTTGCCGAACACCTTGTGGAAGCAAAACTCTGAAAATCTGAATAAAATTATTTTGGATTTTGTAAAACTCTTGGTATGTTGAATAGTTTTCTGGGAAGGGATTGAGATGTCTTTGAATGGCTTTGGAGCGCCAGAGCCTTGGACCTGAATCTCCAGCCATGGTGCCACATCTGGGAAGGGCAGAGCAGGTTGATTACGGGGACCATGGGATGCAAATGCCCAGAATCCTCTCTGGTGGTCCTGAGTCCCTGCCTCCTGCGTTCTGGGGCTCAGTCCCCACATGAAGCTCCCATTCTGCCAACAAGAGGGTTAGGGAGGATTGGAAAGCTTAAATGGTTGCAGTGAGGTGGGTGGTCGTGGTGAAATATATTCAAAATGAAGAGTTTAGGGCCAGGGATTTAGCTCAGTGGTTCTACTGCCTGCCTCTCAAGTGCAAGGTCCTGAGTTCGATCCCCAGTACCAAAAAAAAAAAGTTTGTTGAGGGTTCTTAGCAAACCAATCTAATTTCCCTTTTGCCCAATTCATTCATATGAACCCAGTGAACATTAGTGCCCATTTTGAAGGGTGCTCGTTCTAAAGCTTCTGCTTTGTGTTGACTGCAGACAAAACTCTGAAACTGGTAGGCATTAGTTCTGCTGCCCATCAGTGGAAGTCTAGCCTTCCTTGTCACCTGCTGTCTTAAATTTGGAGACTTGGCTCTAAAGTTAAGAATTCAGTTCCTCAACAAATAAATCCATTCCTCAGTTGTCACATTGCCAGTGCTCAGTGGCCACGTGTGCAAATAGAGAACATCTCCATTGCAGCAGGCTCCACTGTAGGCCGGAAGTGCTGTTCTTGACGCACTGGATTTGTCTTTCCAGGAGGGTGCCAAGGTCAGTGGGGAGCTTTTGTGGTCTTCCTACTCCAGCTCACTGTTACACCTGACACTGACTCTTTTCTCCATTCTGTTCCTACATCACTTGGTTCTGCCTTTCTCAACCTGCTTTGCCCCTTGAAAGAAAGTACTTCCCTGACTCTGCCCACAGCCTTTTCTCTCCCTGTGAGGAGTCTCACTCCCTGGGTGCAGTGACACCTTCTGCTGTGAGCCTGGCCTCTCTGTGGGGCCAGCTTCAGTGGGGCATCCCCCAGGCAACAAAGCCCTCTGTCTTGATGGCTGCCACTGAATTCCTGGCCTTCAGGGCAGGCAGCTTTAAGTTCATCTTTAACTCTCTGGCCCCTCAAACATTTGTGGTTTGTTGTTTTTCCAGTGCTGGAGATTGAGCCCAGGGCTTCACACATGCTAGGCAAATACTCTGCCCCTGAGCTATGCCTCAGTCCCCTTCTCTCCAGGTACAGTCACTTCCAGGTCCTGTAGATCACTATCACACCCCTTCTCCCACCACCCTATTTAAGGCCCACCTGCCTGCCTTTTCTACTGTAGTTACTGCCTATTAACTGGCCTCCCTGCCTCAGTGTCCCTCTCTGGGAACCTACAATGGCACCTGCTATTGTCAAACTACCAGAAATCCAAGTTGGTTAAATATTTCACCCTCCAAAATCTTCAGGGATAGCTGCCTAGAGAATGGCCCATATTCCTGATCTTGATAAGTTAGGGTGCGCATTATCTGCCTCCAACTATCCTTTTCTACTCAATATCCCTAAAAATAGGCCATATATTCTCATACCTTTAAGTCTTATTATTTTCTCAGCCTGAAATTTCTTGACTCTCTTGTCAATCAGAGCCATGATTTTTTCTTTTTTCTTTTTTTTTTTTAATAACATAATGAGAGAAATAAGCCGAAACATGAACACCCAAAGCAGGGCTTTTATTAAAGGACAGAGCTGCTGGGCTGTCTCGAACAATGGCGAGAGCAGCAACCAGGGGCTGGCCAGGTGAGGTTTATAAGGGCGGGGGAGTGTGGTGGAGGCAGATGATGGGCTATGACTGAGGGCAAGGTGGGGAAAAGCAGGACTTTGTTCTCCCTGGAGTGACTCACTTCCTGTAGGCAGGGGCCGTTTTAGGTTGCAGAGTTGTTGGGGCCAGTTTATCTAGCAGAGAACTCTGTCACTCAGTTCTGCTCTCTCTCTCCCACAAAGCCTTTTCTCCTCCAACCAGTTTCTCTGAGTTTCTACATTTCATTGACACATTGATTTTCAGGATTATTTCCTTTTATTTTACATATTATGTTTGATGATTTTCTTATGTTTCTACCCTTGAACATAACCTCCGAGGCAATAAATTGTTGTTTTTTATACCTTGTAATCCCTGGCTTCAGTATTATGTTTTACACATCAACATGTTTAGTCTTACCACACTTCCACTGACTTGGGTCAGCTCCGTGCTGGGTGGTCAGTGAATACTTGTTAATATAAATCAGAGTTGTAGACGTTCTTTCATTGTGGTCATGGCCAAAAGGAATTAAGTTGTTTCAAAGAGAAAAAAAGAAAAGAAAAGAAAAAGCATTGAAGGAGAGAGTCCTTCATATGGAATGAGTCAGGAAATCCAAAACATTAGGGTACTCAGCATTCAAGGGATGGCTTGATGGTGATGAGATAGCCCCTTTCCTACCCCATTTGAATTGATTGCCTAGAAACAGGGCGTAGCATTGAAAGTAATGAACCACGGAACAGCTGCTCTGGTGGTTGGCTGCATTCTTTGGATTCACGTTTCATTGAATAGCATTTTTTCTGATTATAAAACTGATGAATCCTTATTGTGCTTATTGGAAGAATGCAAAAAGGTGTAGTGAAGAAATCAAATAATTTCCTATAGCACTATTGTGGTGGGATATTATTTTCCAAAGATATCTGCTACAGTGTCTCCCATCTCACACATGTCTCTCATCTCACATGCTGTTATGCAGTATAACCTTGTCACTGTCCTCATCAAGAACTGGGAGCCAGGCATGGTGGCACAGGCATTCTGAGAATGTGATCTCAGCATTCTGAGAGGGTGAGGCAGAAGGATCGCAGCCTGGGCAATTTAGCAATACCCTACCTCAAAAAACTGAAAGGGCTAGGAAGAAAGCTCAGGGCAAAAGCTCTGGGTTCAGTCTCCAGTACTGGGGGAAAAAAAAAAAGCTGGGATTCTATTTCTCCCCTCTTTTGGATCTGGCCAGGTCCTGAGACCACCTGGACCAACAGAATATGGTAGAAATGATAGTGTGCTAGTTTGTGCAAAGCCCTTGTGTGGCCTAGTAGCTCATACTTTGTTAGAAGCCAGCTGCTATGTAAGTGCAGCTATCCTGGGACCACATACTGTAAGAAGCACAAGCCACAAAGGATGTCCCTGGGGGCTGAGTCCATGTGGAGAGAATGAAGCCATGAAATACTGAGGCATCAGACCTATGAATGAAGAAGCCATTTTGGAAGTGGAACCTCCCAGCTGATGACACAGAGATCACAGATGAACCAGCTAGCTGAGGCCTTCCAAAACTAAAATGTTCTTTTTTGTTCATTTGTTTGTTCTGCTTTTTTGAGAAAGGGTCTCACTATGCAGTTCAGACTGGCCTTGAACTCACTATGTAGCCCAGGCGGGCTTCAAACTCACAGTGATCCTCTTGCTTCAGCCTTCTGAGGACTGGAATTCCATGCGTGTTCCAGTTTAAAATGTTCTTTAAAACCACTATAGTTGGGCTAGGCACAGTGATGCATCCTTATAATCCCACCATTCAGGAAGCTAAGGCAGGAGGATCACCATGAGTTTACAGCCAGCCTGGGCTACATGGTGAGTTCACAGCCAGCATGGACTACATAGTGAGACCCTGTCTCAAAAAACCACCTGCACCCCCAAAAAAGATAAAGCCACTTCATTTGGCTACATTGCATTATTGAAGTTCTCATCACCCATTTTTAGTTTTTTCTAAGCATACACATTTTACTTTTTAAATTATCAAATATAATATGCATGGTTTTTGTTAGAAATCCATTATTCCATAAATGTAGAAACTATAGAAATACATCTTAATTATACCCTGCAAAAAGACAAGCTTAAAAAGAAAAAATAAAGCCAAGCTCTATTGATGATTTGGTCTATACATTTTCCAGGTTTTTAAAAAACACATAACAGTATTACTCCTATACCAACTTTTTTTTTTGGTACCAGGGATCAAACTTGGGACCTTGCGCTTGCGAGGCAGGCGGTGGAACACCTGAGCTAAATCCCTGGCCCCTCCTGTACCAACTCTTTCAAAACAAAACTAGGATAACTTACATATCCAGTTCATATGATCTCAAGATAAAAGCATTTTCTCGGGCCATTAAATATTTGTCGGAAACATTTTAATGATTTTATATTTTCTGTAGACATCTGTGTATTCAGCAGTATTTATTGAGCACACAGATAATGGTAGGCATTATTCTAGGAATTGATAGTAGAGTCATGAATAAAACACAGTTATGGGCCGGGGATTTAGCTCAGTGGTTTCACCACCTGCTGCGCAAGCTCAAGGACCCGAGTTCTATCCCTGATACCCAAAACAAACAAACAAACACAGTTATCCTGCCCCATGGAGTTTACATTCTATTGGGAAAACAGGCAAGAAGCAAGATACAGTATATAATACATTAGATAACGATAAGAGCCAAGAAGAAGAAAAACGTAGGGAAAGGGATATGAAAAATGAAAGAGCTGGGCATGGTGGTGCACATCTGTAATCCTAGCACTCGGGAGACTGAGGCAGAAGGACCACCGCAAGTTCCAGACCAACCTGGACTACACAGCAAGACCTTGTCTCAAAAAAAATATATATGGAATGTCAGGACTGGAGGGTAATTTTTTACGTTTTGGCCACAGTAGGGACTGAATCCAGGGCTTTCACACAAAACTACATCCTGAGCCCTTTTATTTTTTTGTAGCAGGATCTTCCTGAGTCACTAAATTGCCCTGGTTGAACTCAAACTTGGAATTGTCCTGCCTCAGCCTCCCAGAGTGCTGGTATTATAGGCGTGTTTTATGGAGAGTGAAACTGCAGAGGCTGGGCAGAGCATGTCTCACTGAGAAGATGGCTGGCTGTTCATGCACTACTTAGACGACCAGTCCATTTCCAAGGGTTGTCAAGTTTGTTTCACTTTTCATTTTGGCACATTGCCTTTGAGTGTGATTTTTAAGGCAATTTCCATGTCACCATTTCATACTCTCCTAGCTCATAACTGCTTCTGAGCAGCTAGAGCAGACTGGCAGCACAACAATGGACCACGCTCCAGCAGTTTCCCGTGGTCCAGGGAGGGTGGAGCAAGGGTTCAACTCATGCCACCATTCACAAACCCAGCCCTTCCTCTGACCACTCTCTCAGCCGTGGATTTGAGTTCTCAGCTGGACCCACTTGCAGGGAAGAGAGCATGGAATGCCATGCACAGAATGCTTGTCACGGGCCAGCCCTGAAGAAGCCACGTATGCCGTCACCTCCCTTAGCCTCCACTTGCTAGAACTCAGGTGCCCTGTCCTTGACACTTTCAGTTGGACCTTATCCAGGGTTCTCAAGCATTTTACAGGCAGGAATTATTTAATACATTTTGCAAATGAGGAATTGCATGAAGTCTGCCATCTGAGGCCACACTTCCAGTAGGTAGTGAATCACAGCAGTCACCTCCAAACAGCTGAGTCTTCCCTCCACCTTGTCCCTGTGGGCCTCACTCCAACCCTCCAGGAACTGGGGCTATCCCCTTCTCCCTCCAGTCTGAGGAGTTCACTCTCTTCCCTCACAGCTTCCCAACACCTGAACTCTAGCCCCCTCAGTATTATTTTCTTTTCCCCTCAAATATTTACTAAGCATCTATTATGTACCAGCCACTGTGGTAGGTACTGAAGACCAAAAACAGGCACATGGAGCTGACATCCCAAAGGAGACTTTAGATCATTTGTCTCTATCTCCTTTTCTTGCCCTCCCTCCTCCCAGCACCTCTGTTCTGTGCTAGCAGCAGACCGAGAACACCGGGGGTTCTCCCTGCTAGGGTGACGCCTGGACCAGCTCTGCCCCTCATCCTACTCTTCCTTCTTGATCTTAGGGTTTTCCAGCCCAGGGGTGGTAAGATCAGAAGGTCTAAAACAAGGATGGGGGCTCAGAGGCCTCTTGCAGACCAGCCTCAAGGGTCCCCAGGCACCAGGCTGCCCTGTCTAGCCCACCTGCTGCCTCAGTGATCTGCAGCCCCCGTGGACATGTCCTCTGGGGGTGGCTCAGGTGGTCAAGACCGCAGGGCCACTGCCGTGTGATGCAACCACTGGCATTCACATTTAGAAAGAAACAATGTTTGGCTAAGAGCAGGGATAGCGTGGGGAACCCTAGGTATGATTGCACTGTGCCTTTGAGTCACCCCACTACAGCTGACCCTTGCTGTGCTTGCAGGAAGACCCCTACTCCTTCAGTTTCAGTACTTTGCCCTTGTCCAGTCCCAGGCACTTGGGGAAAGCTGCCGCTCCATCTTCCACCAAATACGTGCTGCCCACGTTGCCTGCTGCATAATAGTCTGAAAATAAATCTCTGTCGGAATTTAGTATCAGGAAAGTTCTCTGCCTTTCAAGCATCCTGGACCACACTGTCTCTCTCCTCTTCTTCTGCTGGTTGGAATCTCAGGCACTGCAAGTGTGTTTATCTCTGTGTTTCCCTTATTCTTTGTAAAGATTTTTTTCTTTGTAAGATTTGGATCTTTTCTTTTGACTATCTTGAGTATATTTTTTTTGGTACTAGGGATCGAACTCGGGTCCTTGTGCTTGCACAGCAGGCGGCGAAACCACTGAGCTAAATCCCCAGCCCTATCTTGAGTATATTTAATACAGTATCTTTAATAATAGCTGCCATAAATTGATTTTTTGGTTGGATGAATATGCTGAGTATAATAAAGACATCATTCTGGTTGATGGCTAACTTCGCAAGCAGAATCCACTGGGCACGGGTGCCCCTGAGACGGGGCAGGGGGTGATTGCTGCCCTTTGGCACATGCATCAGACACTGAGTCCCGCCTGAGCCCCAAGATTGTACTCTTTGGAGCACAGCAGGGTACAGGGGTGTCTTCTGCTGCCATGCCCGCCTTCGTCAGAGCTGAGGTTGAGATTCCACCAGGACACTCAGCAGAACTCTAGATGGCCAGTTCATGACCCACACCGCTTCTCCGTCTACACAGCTGGGAGGCTCACAGAGTTTGTGTGGAATGCTCATGAGGCACAGTGAAGCTGGTCACTTTGGGGAGTGAAAGAAGTCACTATTAATAAAATACTCAAACCAGGGCCAAGTCCTCCAGCCTGGCCCCTGCCCTGGCCACCTGGATTTGGCTCTGAGGAGGCCCCTTCTGTGAGGGATCCCTGGGTCTCCCAACCTTCCCCAGAAAGAGCTGCTGTCCTTTGGAGACCACATAATCTCCAGGCAGCCAGACTGCTTATATTTGTTCCCATCTCTCCCATGAGGCTCTGGGCATATTATGCAAATGAACATGATCATAAGAAACAAAACCTCCTCTTGGTTCAGGTGCATGGAGATAAGTTTGGGAATCTCTCTGTCCTCACCTCTCCTCGTCTCTCCCATTTCTAGTGGTCTCTATCTCCGTGCCATCTCTTCTCTCCTCCATGGTGGGCCTGATGGTCCCTACTGTGAGGGGACATTGTGAAGAGAAATGGCCCCTGCCTAGGCTGAGGCTGTGACGTATGGCCTTTACCAGTTTCTCCAGGGGCCATGGAAAGGCCTCTCCCCAGGGACCTCGAGCACAGAAGGAAGAGGAGGAGCAGTCTAAGCCCCGAAAGGGGGGGGGGTCCCTGGGGGTCCCTGCAGCTGGATCAGAACTTCCGGGACATGCTGAGTTCGGTTCCTCACATGTGTTCTCTCCGCCCTTAGTAGCCTTTCATTGGGTGTGCTGGCCCGTCCCGGCTGGAAGGCAGCTGTGGAAGAGAAAAAACTTAGAGACAGAAGGCCTGGCTTTGAACCATAGCCTTCCCATTTGGTCAAGCAAATGACCTTCCTTCACAGTACTTTGGAGAGAAGTAGTTTACAATGTGATGTGGTAGTAATGCATACAGGGAAGGGGTTTGGGCAAGACACCTGAGTGGAATTGAGTTATTCTGAGAGGAACGCAGGAGAGGGGTCTGAGTTGTGCCCATCCTTGGCCCCCATTTCTAAATAGGACATCTGCAGCCCTTGGCCCAGGTAGTGGCAGTGAATGAAGTCACAAGGTGACTGTGGCCTGGGCAGGTGTGACTCTTAGGCAGCTGCTCCAGACCAGCCACACGCTGCATGGGGACTCCCTCCCACAGGCGACCTGGTGGCTCTGCCATCTCGCTGAGGAGGCCTCTCATCAGACATCGGGGTGAACAGCAAAGGCCTCCATGTCCCTGTCCCCTGGCACCCTAGAATCTAGCTGCCTCTGGCCCAGGTGTTGGTGTGTCCCAGAACAGGCAGAACGCTGTGAGCCTGGGGCAGGGGAGGGAGGAAGTCTGTCAGAGGTCGATGCTCTTGGAAATGTTGAGTGGGCGAGTTTTCCACTAGGGTGACAGATTTCTCCATCTTAGAGAAAAGCTTCAGAAGCTGTGTCTGACTTGGGGGAGGCTCTAAGAAGCCAGATGGACCGAAGCGGAGTGTGGAGGGCGTCACAGGCAGATGACGAGTCTGTCTCAGATCCTGGTCGGCATCTTGGCCCTGCCGCTGCCTTCATCCGCGCTTCAGCCTCCACTGAGTCCCCCACGTCCACCAGCACCACCCTTCACTGCACCCCACAAACGGCAGCTTTGGGTGTGCGAGCCGCCTGAGTCTGATTGAATGGAGGAACCACGTACCTAGTTGTTGAGGATGAGTGGAGAATTGAGGCCTAATTGGCCTCCTCTGTGCGCGCATGGGAGAAAGGCCTCATCAGGGGCGAGTGCATACTAGGGAAAGTTAAGACCGCTGAGGCTGTTTACCAGAGAATACCCGCACTAGTGATATTGGAGACCAGATGGATCTTGTGTTACTTTCATTGCTTGTGCCTGTGTTTGGGTGAATAGAAGTGAGGTGAGCCAAAGCCTCAGGCCCCTCTGCCTGCTGGAGGTAGGAGCTCGGGCTGCACGTGTGTTGAGCTGACTCTGTGTCTCTTTATTATTCATCCTTGTTTGCCCAGGGTCAGGGAGGAACAAAGTAGCTCTGGGTCTGGGAGCAAGGCTGGCCAGGTGAGCCAGCTACAGATGACGCCCCAGCGTGGAGCCAGGGACCCGGGGTCGCTTACACCTACTGATGTGCAAGACATATCAGCTGCAAACAGTCCAGGGCCTTGAGTAGCTCTTAGTGCAGTGGAGACAGGAGGTCAGAGGCTGCTGGGCTCAGAAGGAGCTCTGACATCAAGGGACCCAGTGCTCACACGGGATGCTGCGTGCTGGGAGGCAGGGCCTCGGGGCCACTGACTCCCTCAGTGAGTCACCGCTTTCAGGGGCAGCTAGGGGCTGAGCTATCAATGATACTGTCAGAGAATCTCAGAGAGAGGGAGGTGTGGAGCCCACCATGGAGCTGGTTGTGCTGTGAAAAAGATGGGGTGGAAACCCCAGTAGTTAAGAGCTAGGAATCGGATCAGAGAGCACTGTGGGAAAGCGGGTGTGTTTGGGGGTGGTTAGCGATTGGTGGAGTTGGCTGCAGAAGGTTCCAGACCATTATGTTTATGTTTATTGTTTTAATTTTGAGACAGGGTCTTTCTAAATTGCTAAATCACCCACACTGGGCTCCAACTTGCAACCCTGACTCAGCCTCCCAGAGTGCTGGGATTACAGACGTGCACCACCACACTAGGCTCCTAAGCAGTGTTTTGAGGAGGGAGGAACATGACTTGTTGGAGAGGCAGCCTATAGAACCAGAAGGCAGCGGTTTCCTGGAAGTTGCACAGCAGCACTGTTTGTACGAGCGTAGTCCAAGCACCTACCATGTCCACATCCCTTGGTCTGTCAGCCTGTGACATCCCCGGCACCCCTGGAGGAGTCGTAGCAGAGCACGAGGCAGAGAGACCCTCTCCGCCCAGTAGTAAGGTCCTGTCCACATACACGCCGCTCACCATTGTAACCGCCTTGTGCAACCACCATTGCCAGCCCCGTCTGTAGTCTTCCCCAGCTGCGCTTTGTACCCTTCAACACGGGGTCTCCCGCTCTGTAAGCCTGAGTGCAAGGGGCTCCCCACTGTGGCTGATATTCTCCCTGTGGGTTCCCTGAACCCTGCTCACATGCCTCTGCCAACCTCTGGATTAAACTCTCCTCCGTTTACCCAACTTCAGGGTGGCCTCTCAGCTGCTGGGCACTGGCCTCATAGCTGCATAAGACAGTCGCTAAAAACGCTCTCTCCTGTCTTCATCACACAAATGAGGAACTGAGGCAGAGGGAGATCTTGCCCAAGATCAACTAGTAAGGGGTGACGCTGGGATTTAGACCCCAGCAGTCTGCTCCCAAGAGAGCTGACACATGAGAGGCTCCAGAACTGGAAACATGGGGCTCCGGGGCAGCTGAGGAGCCTGAGCAGACCAGGCTGGAGCGGCGTTGATGCGGAGGCTGACGAGCCCTTAGGATGTGCTGCACACATGCGCAGAGGAAGCAGGCACCAGAGCAGCCGTGGTTGTGTCCAGATGGAGCAGTGTGTCCCCAGGAGCCAATGCCATGGCCAATGATGCCCTGAGCCCCCTCAACTGCCCCGGGAGTCTGCTGAGAGCCCCTGACCCAAGTGGGGGTGAAAGGAGCTGCCCCAGGGCAGGGCTCCGAAGGCCAGAGGCTGATGTGGCACTGAGGGTGTCCCAACATGTCCCCTGCCAGAGCCTGCAGCCCTACCGAGCAGCGTGGCCCTGGCGTGGCTGATGTGACCAAATGGAGTTACCCTCCTGGGAAGAGACTCCTGGGCTTTGAATCTCTCCATGGCACCACCCGGAAGCAGGGCATAAAGGCAGGGCAGGCCGTGCTGGAAGCAGAGGGCCGTGGAGATGTTCGCTCTGCCTGAGGGCTGGCCTTTCTGGCTGGCTCCTTCCTGCTCCTGACACTTGGCACCTTCTACTGGGAAGGGCGCCCCCTTCCCCCGGCCGCTTCTCCTTCCCCGTCCTTGGTAACCTGTGGCAACTCAACCTCCGGCTGCACCCAGAGATGCTGCTCCAGGTAAGGGGGTCTGTCCTCGAGTAGAGGCAGACAGGGTCCCCTCCTCTCAGCCCAGGGACAGTGGAAGGAGGTGAGGTTCGACACTTGTGGGTGTTTCGTAATTTCTTAATACCTGATTAAGGGTCCCGATCATGGATCCCCAGGCCCCACCTGCAGTGGAAAGAGCACTGTCTGGAGAGCCAGGGTCTGTCTTTTGGCCTCTGGTGCCTAACCCACCGTGTGGAGATGAAGACGCCTACCTCGCACACTTAGGCTGAGGGTGGACTCAGGTGACACGCGGGAAGCCCACCCAAGACACTGAGCCCTCCAGAGCGGTGGCTGCTTGTAGCTTGCGTCTGCAAAGGGACAGACATAACCACTGCAGGACAGGCGGGCCGGGGCTCCTCCCGGTGCCCAGGGAGCCTGTGACTGGGGTTTGGCTGGCCTGGGACGGGTGGAGGTGCTCCGAGAAGGCGTCCCCGAAGTGTGTTGGGTGCAAGAAAGTGGGGAGCTCATGTCCAGAGGAGGGTCCTGGGGAGTGGCCAGCGTGCTCACAGCATGGGTCGGCCCCACGCCCGTGGTGGTGCTGAGCGGCTCCCGGGCCATGAAGGAATCGCTGGTCTGCAACTTGGAGCAGTTCTTGGCAGGCCCCTCAGGCCCCTCTTCCAGGCCCTGTTTGGAGAATGAGCCGCGCCTCACCCCTGCCCTCTGTGCTCCCCATTCAGTGCCCGTAGGTCCCCAGGATGCGGGGAGATTAGACAATACCGGGCTCGGCAAACACCCTGGCCCTCCTTCTCCCCTCGGAAGGGCCCTTCCTCCCTTCCCTTCTCCACCTCTGCCTCCATTTCTTTTCCTCTTTTTTCAAAGTGAAGCATTTGGTTGTAGTGTGATTGCAGCACCGTGAAATGCCCTATTGTGTCCCTATTCGCTTTCTTTCAAGCCCACAAGTAATTTTTATCTTTAATTCATTAATTTTGCAGCGTTGGGGATGAACTGGGCCTTGCGCATGGTTCGCAAGCACTCTGCCACTGAGCCACATCCCTCATCACACTCCCCTCCGTTTCCTGTGAGAACTCCGAACACCGACATCAGGCTGATCACGGGGTCACCAACCCACACCCCACAGAGCCCCTCACTCTGTGCTCAGGGCACCGGCCCAGAACTGGTTGGGTAGGTTGGAGAGAGCCAGGGCCTGGGAGGTGGAGGTGGGCTGGTGACTGTCATCCCTGCCCTGCCCGCCCAAGGCCCAGGGGTCATCTGCAGCAACGGGCACACGTGGCGGCAACAGAGGCGCTTCTGCCTGATGACACTCCTCGGGCTGGGCCTGGGCAGGCTGGCGCTGGAGCTGCAGCTGCAGGACGAGGCGACAGACCTGGCTGAAATCTTCCGCCAGGAGCAGGGTGAGGAGGGGCTGGTCAGGCACCCACGGGCACGCACCTGCCTGTGGAGCAGGCTGAGCCTACAGCGTGTGACAGCCTGTGTCTGTGATGCTGGGAACATTTAAGCCATGTCCGGGGCCTGGGAGTTTCTCCAAGGTGGGTGGACGGAGGCCCAGGACCCCAGGCACTGCGGCCGCCTGTCCCCTTTCTTCCCAGCTGTGACCTGCCTGCCACCTCTCTGACAACCCAGCACCTAGAAGGTGCTCAGTAAGCACTTAGTGGGTGCATAAATGAGGAACGAGAAGGAAGCGCTGAATACACACACGGGGAGTCACATTCAGGAGAGGGCGAGGGCTGGGCCAGGGCTCTTGTGCCTCCCGTCCCTGCGCCCTGCCCTCTGTCCTCAGGTAGAGCCTTCGACCCTCAGGTCCTCATTGTTGAGTCCATGGCCAGAGTCATCGGGGCCACCGTTCCTCACCATCTTCCGGGAACTGACTCATGCCATCGACGCGGGCCTGGCCTTCACCAGCACTATGTGGTACTGGGTAATTTGGGAGGCAGCGGTGCAGGCCATAGGATGCTAGGGCCCAGAGGCAGGGACCTCAGCCAGGGCCTGGCAAGGAGGGCGCAGAGTGGGTGAAAGATAGAGGCTGTGAGGCCCAATTCTGGGTTTCTTTCTTTTTATTTATTTGTTTGTTTTTTGAGACAAGGTCTCGCTACATAGTTCAGGCTGGCCTTGAACTCACTATGCTGCTCGTCGCCATCCTCGTAGCAGACGGTCGGGCAGTGCCCAGCACCGCGTCCAGCTCCTGCTGCACCCTCTGCGGGAGACTGGTGTGGGTCCCAGAGGCTCCCTCCCTCCCCTCTGCACCCTCCCTGTCCCCCGTGGCTGCTCAGGCTCCTGACCTCGAGTCACACCCTGCCCTGCCACTTGCACTCAAGGTCAAGCAGGAGTTCCGAGGGTTTATTCCTGCATGGGACCTTTATGGGAAGGGGAAGGACCCATGCTTGAGCCCCATATGTGCCCAGTGCTCCACACACTGGGGCTGAAGGTGAAGGACGTGCTGCAGGTCACACTGCAAGCAGCTGGCTGAGAGGAGCCCCTTCTGTGGGATCCAATGCTATCCGCACTCCCTGCATCCCAGGATGGGATCAGGACCCACAGCAGAGTGATGGGTGTGCTGGGGCGGTGCCTGCACCCCAAGCCCCAGGAGGCACAACCAGCAGGGAAGTGAGGCAGGCCGGGCCTGGCGGGGCCTCACCCAGGGGCCCTCCCCGACCCAGCACCTGTCGGAGACACTCCTTCGCCGCTAAAGCTTCTGCCAGCCTG